CTAGGCAGATGCTTTCATCACTGCCCTTGTCTTTCTCAACTTTTTTTTTTTGACAGTCTTGCTCTGTCACCCAGGCTGGAGTGCAGTGGTGTGATCTTGGCTTGCTGCAACCTCTGCCTTCCAGGTTCAAGTGATTCTCATGCCCCAGCCTCTCCCAAAGCTGGGATCACATGCATGGACCACTACACCAGGCTAATTTTTGTATTTTTAGTAGAGGTGGGGTTGCCCCATTTTGGGGAGGCTGGTCTTGATCTCAGGTGATCTGTTCACCTCAGCCTCCCAAAGTGTTGGGATTACAGGTGTGAACCACCATGCCCTGCCCTTCCTCAACTTTCCTCCTCACCTGAAGTCTATTCTCCTCCCCAGCCTGGAGGTCCAAGGCACATACTCCTCAGTTGGACCAGGCTTACCCCAATCTGGTCTGTTTTCACTCTTGCCTTATCTTCCACAACTGCTATAAACATACTCTCAACTGCAGTAAAATCAGACCATTGGGCAATTTCCTAAACATACCCTGCTTACCTGCATCCATGCCTCTATTTTGGCTTTTCCTTCTACTTGAAATGCCCTTTCACCAAATTCTACTGCTGAGGACATCTCCTCCATAGAGCCTTCCCTTATCTCACAAAATCCTTACAGTCTCCCTTATTTGGGTCGTTGTAATGCTTAACACATTGCTCACCTTCACCCCATTGTTGGAAAGGCCTTACTCATCCCTGTCCTGGAATCCAGCACGGTGTCTTGTTCCTAGGAGGTGCTCAATACATGCTCAGTAGTTAGAATTGGTAGTAGTTAGGTAGAATTGTAGGTGAAAGGGAGACAGATCTCAGTAACCTTTGTTTGTTTGTTTGTTTGTTTGAGATGGGATCTGACTCTGTTGCCCAGGCTTGAGTGCAGTGACCCAATCTTGGCTAATTGCAACCTCTTTCTCCCAGGTTCAAGTGATTCAGCCATTCTCCTGACTCAGCCTCCTGAGTAACAAGGACTACAGGCACATGCCACCACACCCGGCTATTTTTTGTATTTTTGGTAGAGATGGAGTTTCACCATGTTGGAGGCTGGTCTCAAACTCCTGACCTCAGGTGCAGTTCTCAGTAACCTTTGATCTCTGCCCATGGTGACCCTCCTCCAGCAAGAGCTAACTTGAAGCCTGGCAGTGCGGGTTCCAGGAAGGCTCTGGGGTGAACCTTCCTGGATAGCTCTGACCAGTGTCTTCCCTCCTGTTCAGAAACCCAAGAAGAGACCCTCCTCCGCTGAACCATGGATCAGATTGTCGGCCCCCCAAGCGGTCCTGCCCCGCTCCGAGTTCTGCTCAGAGTCTCTCTGGGTGCGGGCGGGAGTGACGTCCAGACAACTGGAAACTCAAACCGTGAGTGGTTTGAGAGCGGGTTTGGGGACCTGAACGCTGAGCGGGAGTTGGAGTTGGCGGGACTCGGTTGGAGTAGGAGCAGAGGCAGGCCGGGGGCCGCGCCAGGACCCGGCGACTGAGTCTGGGAGAAGCCCCCACGCCCGCGGAGACAGCAGCTAAATTTACCCCGGCTGACTCAGTCTTTGCCCGGAATGGGGGGAGGGGGTAGTGCGCCAGGGCAGAGGGAAGAGCTGGCAGGGGTGGGCTGGGGGTAAGGAAGGGAGAGTCTCGGCTGGGGGAGGCAGAGGTGGACCATGAGCTCCCAACGAAGAAAGCACCCCCCCCCGCCCCCTCACACAGAGCGGGAAGTAGCGGAGGAGTCCTGGGGAAGGGCCACTGTGGAGAAAGGGTCAGTGAAAGGAAGATGATGCCAAGGCTGGATAAAGGGAAGCTTAGATTTATTGAGCGCCTACTGTGTGCCAGGCGATGTGCAAGGCGCTTTACATACATTATCGCATTAAATCCTCACAACAACCCTGCGAGGTAGGTGTTTATAAACCCCCATTTGACAGATGAGGAAACTGAGGCTCAGGGAGGTGAAGTGATGCTGCCAAGTTCACATGGCTAATAAATGGCAGACAGAGGAGGTGTCCGGGATCGGAGAGAAAAAAAAAAAAAAAAAAAAGACTTCGGTGTCTGAATCCCAAGCCGGCTGGGGTGGATGAATACAAAGAGGGGCCCGGCGGGCTCCAGAGGTCTGGGAGCCCGGAGGCCTGCTCCCGGCCCCGCGCGGCGGAAGGCTGCAAGGCTGGGGACCCGCGCTGGGGAACTGGGGATCGGATTGAGTGGCAGAGCCGGAATAAGCAACTGGAGAGATCCGCGACCTGCGCGCGCCCTGTAGTGGCTGTAGAGAGTATCACATCGCACGCCTACGGGCTTCTGGGGACCAGCCTCTTTCCTTGCGTGGCCGGTTGCCAGAAGAGGCTGAGATGGGAGAAATTCTCAGGATTCTTTCAGGTGGGCGAAACCACCTGGGAGGGAAATCGTGGCCACGCCTCAGAGCATCACTAAGGAGCATTGGGGTGGAGGAAAAGGGGAAGGCCTAAAGAGGTCCCAAGCTGATTCATTGGCTTCCTTCCTCCCCAGCTCAGACCACCACAGGCCAGGGTCAGTGACAGGGCCACTATCTTGCTCTGCCTTGGGGAGCCCTCACCTAAACCTGGAAGACTAGAATAGGAGTGCCTGGCTCCCTTAGGCTCTTCTGCAAGCCCTGGGCAGTCTCCTGAATTGATCATGACTTCTGGTGACAAGGAGGCCACCAGGAAACTTTGGACTCTGTTCACTTATTCCCAACTCTCATTCTTGGCTTGTCAAGGGGGAAGATGAGATAGAGTGTTTCCCAAAGATCTCAAAATGTCAGAGATGGAAGGATGGACCTTTGAATGCCACCATTTTACATACCAGGAGGCCAGGAGGCCTGGAGAGGGAAAGTGGCCGCCTCAGTCAACCAAGTCAGTGGCAGAGGTGGGATTGAAATCCAAGGCTTGTGAGACCAAGGTGAGCCCTCCTTCTGCTTTGCTGGTTTTACTGGACCTATTTCTCTTCTGCCAAGAACCCCTTTGTCATCTGATCACTCTGTCACTGAGTCCAAAGCCTCTCCTTCACTTTTTCCCTCCTGCACAGAGGCCCTGCCCTACACTGCCTTCCTATGGCTGCCACCATCCCTGCCCTCCTGCCTGATCCTAGTTAGGCCTCTCTGCTCAGCTCCACATCCAGTGCATCAGGCCCTGCGAAGAGCTCACCCTAGTGCCTTGAACATGGCAGGCAGGCATTAATTAAATCTACTGCTCACTCTCACCTCTCCTGAAACAAAATCATGAATGGGCATATGCTTCCCTTCCTTTCATTTTTATGTCAAGGATGGGACCAGGTATGGGTAAAGATACAAGGAAAAAAGAAGCAAAGGAAGTCTATGGGGAAGACTGGGGACCAGTGGACCCAAGGATGGATGTATTGGGGTCACGAATACAAGAAGGGGCCCCTCACTGCCTCTTTCTATTTCCCTGTTGGGTCCCTTTGATGTCCCTCACTCCAAAGAGGACCTCCTCGGTTTCGCTGACGACATCTACAATCTCCCCGACCCTGCCGCTCAGTTCCGCTGTCTTCCCACCTTCCTCTGGCGGACTGTTTCCAGCCCCGGGCAGGGTCCTCTCGTTCCGCAAGGAGGCGCCCAGGGTTTCTGTGTCGCTTCCATCAGAGGAGCCGCTATGGACGCTCAGTTCCTCAGCTTCGTCAGTGTCCGAGTCAGGGGCGGTGTGGCGGCGGATACGGGACACGGCTTCTCGCAAGGCCCCGGCGTAGGGCCCTGGGGTCCGCGCCCAGCCCCGGCCTGCGTGCCGCTGAACTACCGCCACTTCTGAGCCCTCGGCTCTGCTCCGGGATCCCGAAGCTCCTGGGCCTAAGGCTTGGTGCTCTGGGCTACCTGGCTGCGTGGGGGCGTCCCGCAGGTTTACTTCGGGGGCCGGGAGCCCCAAGATGCTGAAGGTGCCCTCCTCCAGTGAGGAGTCCCCTGGCCTCCCGCCCTCAGCTTCGCCCCCGCGGCCCTCGCTAGGCTGGTGTAAAAGGTGACTGCTTGACGGCAGCTTTTGGCAAGGGGAAGGAAAGACTGTGGCCCGTTCACCGTCCTCCTTGCCGGGCTTCGATTGGCTGGGGGCATCCCCCACCACGCTTGGCACCCCAGAGGGCAAAAGCTGCACCTGCTGGGTTCGGGGGGTTGGAACATATTGGGATCGTATCACTACGCACGTGGCGTCAATGACAAAGACGCCTTCCCCACGGGATGGGCCCTGGGAACTGCGGGGCAAGGTGTGGGCACGGCGGGTCGCCTTCCAACACTCCAGGGTCTCCGGTCCTGCCCCCACTCCAAGACCGAGGGATTCTCTCCATCCCGTGCCTCCAGGAGCCCAGGGTCTGGGGAGTGTCTGGCTATGGCGGGGCGGCTGCTTTTTAGGGGAGGGAATCCAGTATTTGGGGAACCAGATCTGTTCTCTTTCTTTTTTCCCTTCCCTCGAGCCCTTGATGTGGTGCCTGGACCTAGGAGCGGGACGCGGGGCACTGGGAGCCGCAGTTGCAGACCCCGCAGGAGCGGTCTCGGTGCCTGGGCTCCCTGCAGCTTTGACTTGGGGATGGCTGTCTCTACCACTGTTCAAGTCAGCAGCAGCCAGCCCCAGGCTTCTCTCCACGACCCCCTTGCCGGACTCTGGCCTTGCTCTGGCCGCTCCACAGCCTGGGGATCCCCCCAAGAGACCCTGCCCGTGTCGGAGACCCCAAGCCCCGAGGACGTCCCGGTAGATCCGAGGATCCAGCCTCTTCTTTATGCGCCCTCCCTCTGTCCTGGAGGGATTCGGAGCTGGGGCTGATGAAGCGGGCGCTTGGGAGTGCCCGGGTCCTCGCTTAGTCCCCAAGGTCCTATGGGGGCCTTCGTAGGAAGGTGGAGCCACGTAGGGTGGCGGCCGGTCCCAGCGGCGTCGCGGGGCCGTACTAACAGAGCCTCTCAGCAGCAGATGAGCCTCGTAGCTTGGGGGCCCCGGCCGCCGACCTCCCCAGGGCCCCGCCCACGCCGACCCTGGGTCGCTCTGCGGCTGCGCGGATGGACGGGGCGCTCGCCCCACCTGTGCCAGGAGCTCCGGCCGCGAGGGTGCAGGGAGCCCCGCCGGCTGGGTCGCCCGAAGGGCGTTGCGGGGCTCCGGGCGGGGCCGACCCGGGGGGCTCCGTCTGGCCCCACCAGCCTTGCGCCTTTTTCGCTCGGTCTCCTTGGCCTCCCGCTCCTGCGACGCCGCTTTCCTTTTCTCTTGCTCCCGAGCTCGGACCTCGGCCAGGGGCCCCGCCCGCCAGTTGGTCGCCTCCTGCAGCACCCTGGAGGCCCAGGGCCGGCGGGGCGGCGGCTGTGGGGATCCCGGGCGCGGCCCACACCTGGGACAATGAGCAGGAACCCAGGTGAGCAGTTTGTGGGGGAAGGGAGCCGAGGTCCGGGGAGCTGGGAGCACTGCAGACCACTTGGGACAGCCATATGAAGGGGTGTGTGTGAGTGTGTGCGCGTGTGCACGTGCGTATATGTTAGGACTGAAGTCGAAGCGGGACTCCTCGCCATCTCTCCATGCACACTTTAACAGCGTCTGCCCCATCTCACCTCCTGCCCTTTCTCACGCCCACTCCTATTCCCCCAAACAACCGGATGAGTCAGGCCCCAGCCCTCGGGAGGGGGCAGGGGAGGGAAGAGTGGGAAAGAGAAGGGGGACCAGCAATGCTCGCTAGTGCCTTCGGGGAGGTCCAGACCCCACTCCCCGCCCCACCACTCTCTTCCCCTCACCCCTGCTTCACTCACGTGCGGTTCTGGAACCCGCGAGCCCAGTGGCTGGCCTGGAAGTCCATGGGCTGTCGAGAAGGGGCGCGGCGACTATAATGACAGGAAATGGTCTTCACTTCGATCACCAACAGCTTGGACTTCTGCACCCAGAGGCAGCTGCCAGACTCCTCATCCTGGAGCTCCCGGGGGCTGTCAGGCCCCTCGGAGAACAGTGGGCCATCCAGCATCCTGCCCCACCCCACCCCGGCCCCCCACCCTCCCACCCGCCCCAGGAGCCCCCTCCCAGCCCAGGGAGCCGGCGCCCACTGCAGAGCCGCGGGCCCGGGGACTGGGAACTATATATACCCGGGCACACGTGTGTGTGCCTGTCTCTGTGTGTGCGCGCGCATGTGACACCGCGCGGGCTGCTCCGCGCTGCTACCTCCCCCATGTGCACGGCCGCCCCCTGGGGCCCGGGATTGGACGCCCCTTCCCACTGCTGTTGTCCCCCAAGCCTGATGGGATCGCACGAGTGGGCGGGGGAGGGACTTATGATTCTTGCCAAGCTGACAGTGCCCCCTCCCCCGCCCCTACTTCTTCAACCTTCCTGCCGTTTTAACCCTTTACTCCCCTGCCTGTCAGGTTGCCTGACCACCAGGGTTCTGCCCCTGGCTTCCTGCCTCAGATTTCAGTTTCCCCAACACGGAGCGGTGAGAATGGAACTCAAGGTCTCTGCCTGCCACTCTGCTGGTTTCCATGGGGTTGGGGTGCAGGAGGGGCTGGCCCACGGCTGGGGGGCTATTTTTAGCGGCAGTGGCTGTTCGGGTGCAGAGATGAGATGAGTAACCAGCTCCCATGCGGTGGAGAGAGGAGGCGGTGGCTTTCACCAGGCTTTTGTGCGACTCTGGGGGAGAGCTGCCTTCCCTAAGCTCAAAAAGGGTGACCCCTATACCCTTATCTCCTCACCAGCTCAGTGCTGCCCCTAGAACTGCTGGTACAGCAGGACACAGGCGCCTGCCTTGGCCACCCAAGCCGCCCTCCCAGTCCCATTCTACATGTTTGTCCTTGGGCAGCCAGGGAGCCGTCCCGCAGCAGCAGGCTTTCACCCTGAGTCCAGACGCCAGGATGTGGGGGTTATAGTGTTCTGTGCCCACACAGCTCTGCTCAGCTTTATGGCAGACAGAGTAAACGAGTATGCACTCTCACCCTTCCAGCAGGGGATGGAGGAGGAATGGTGTGTTTGCTTGGCAAAACTAATCCCCTAGCAACTGAAATGATAAAAGTGGCCCTTATTTTTCCAATGTAGAGCTCCCCCTTACCACCACGATGCCTAGTTCACTCAGCCCCGCCTGAAGTGGTCTCCAGATGCTCACCTTTTGAGTTGCCTCTATCCTGGGGGTCTGTTGCTTACATCCACATGATCCCTCCCGCTAAGCTTATACCAGGTGTCCCCTGATTCACCATGGTAATGTTAGTGGCAGCACAGCCCACGCCAACCCTTCCATGCAGAGACTTAGCAACCATGCCTGACAACCATGGCAGCAGATTCAGTGGAGGGGAGGGGTGCAGAGAGAGGGGAAAGAGAGTGTGTGTGGCAATGGTTCCTCAGGAAGGAGGGATAATTTGCCTCTCTGGAGAAGCATAGGTAAGAATAGAAGCCTGTGAGTCCCAAATGTTATCTCTTGTCTTTCCCTCAGCTTCATCCTCACGCTGAGACTGATTGGTTGGGTTTTAGGGGGAAATGGGAGAAGCAAGAGTTCCCAATTAGTTTTCCACTAATGTACGTGGAGCCCTTTGGGTCCAGACCCTTCCTTTTAAGGGGATGGTGACGAAAAAGGTTATTGTGGGGCAGAGACTGACTGAGAAACAGCTCAACAAAACCAGGCTTCTGCTCCCTCACACAGACCTTTAGAGAGAACGCAAACATCCCGTCCCATCCACCCTATCCCCCTTGATTTCACACACCTGCCAGCTGCACTGATGACTTGACTCGAAGGTGCTTCCTTCCACCCTAGGTCCCACTAGAGTCCTGAGGCTTTTAAAGCCCTTGCCTCCTCCCTAGGCAAATCTTCCTTAATGAGGGAATGTGACATAAGGGGCCATCTGTCCTTTCCACCATGTACTTACCACCCCCCTCCACCACATAAACATACTCTAATTCTAATACTTGGAAGCCTTCCTCCCCCAAGTTTGAGAATGTGCTGTGCGAGCTGTGAAGAAGTGAAGGCAGAAGCAGGGGCTCCTCCACAGCCATGCTGCAGCACTGAAAGCTGAGCTCTGACGAGGGCCACCTTCTTTTTTTAAAAAAATCAGCTTCCTCATGTTGGATCTCATGAGGCCCTTGATGCTTTTCCCTGTGTTCCCTCAGGAAACCTAGTTTGGAGAACCCAGTATGCTCTGGCTGGTGGGTCATCAGAGGGGTTAGGCACCGTGGGGGTAGGGACAAGGAATGACTCTGAAATTGTTCCTAGCATGGATGGGAAACTGTTTCATACCTGCAAGGCAGGAGTGAGCTGGCACACAAATTTACCTCATACTCCACAGTCTAGCAGTTCTTCTGGTGTTGGGTGCTGTTTGGGTCTACATGGTTTCAGTACAGGGAATGGATCTGATGGAGTGACCACTGTCCTGCTGTTCTCTCATCTCCTACTCTCCAGCTCATTCAAGAAATGCAAGAAAGGCAAGAGATTTGTAGGTTTAAAGATAGTGCTGGCTGGGTGCAGTGGCTCATGTCTGTAATCCCAGCACTTTGAGAGGCCGAGGTGGGAGAATCACAAGGTCAGGAGTTCGAGACCAGCCTGGCCAATATGGTGAAACCCCGTCTGTACAAAAAAATTCAGAAATTAGCTGGGCGTGGTAGCGCATGCCTGTAGTCCCAGCTACTCAGGAGGCTAAGGCAGGACAATTGCTTGAACCTAGGAGGTGGAGGTTGCAGTGAGCCGAGATCGTGCCACTGCACTCCATCCTGGGCAACAGAATGAGACTCCGTCTCAAAAAACAGTGCCAACTCAGAAAGCCAAACAATCAAACCTTCCCTAAGAAAAGCTGATAATGGTGGCACGATTCTCTGCCCAAAGGAGACCCTCAAGTTTGTCTACTGTTGGGAGTAGACACTAACATTTTTATGAGATTTCCCTTGGGTACGGGCCATAATTCAGGCAGAGGGGAAAGTGAGATAATGAGGAACCACAGGGACTAGGGTAAGGAGCAGTTGTGAAAGGAGAATTAGAGGTAGTAAGTCTACTGTAGCAGTGAAGAGCATGACCCCTAGGGCCAGACTGTTTGGGTTCAAATCCTAGCTCCACTTTTTACTAGCTGTGTGGTCTTGGGTTAGTTACCTAGCCTCTCTGTGCCTCCATTTTTAAAAATCTGTAAAACTGGAATAGTGTCTATTATTATTCTGAGGATTAAATTAGTTAATATAAAAGCACTGAGAATGATGTCTGGCACACAGCTGTGTGTGTATGTGCACGTGTGTGTGTGCACATACACTATTGTTATTAATGACCAGTTGAAGATGCCATATAAAGTAGGAAGTTTGGAACAGTGGTGTCTGTCAACTGCAAAAATGAAACACTGTAATACCATGAAGAGATTGCTGTCATTTAATTAGACTTGCCATAAAAAGCAATAACCTTAGCTAACCACACTGCCCTCCTCCTCCACCCAACCCCATCTCCCTTCATATGCACACAGCACAGGAACCCAAAGGCCCTCCTCCCCACAGTCCTCCCCACTGACATTATGGGAAGAAATGTCACTAAATGGACTTGGCCTCCTCCATATAGCATGGAACAGGTAAATAAAAATATCTTTATGAAGAATTTTGTTGTGCTATTATCTTAGGGTTGAAACAGGGCCGAGATAGAGGCAGAGGCAAGTGAGGTCTGGGGATCTCTTAGAGATCAGAATTTGTCTGAGAGACACAGAGCCTACAGTTCACCCAGAAAGGGGGCTACATCTAAGAGGACAGGGGCTAGAATTGGCGAGTCTGAAAGTTTTTTCAAGTGTATGTGTGAGGGTAAGGGTAGCTATAAAACCATTCTCCTTCCTCCCCCTATACCTTCTCTAGCTCCCAAATAGAAGGGCAGGGGGCCCTGAGCAGGGAACAGAGTCACAATTCCCCCAAGTTTCATCTGATCCCCACAGAGCTTCCAGCAGACAATGAGTTGGGCGTATGCCTTGGTGCTGCCTGACCCCTTCCCGAGCTCAGAGCTTCTTCTCTCCACCTGTGAGCACCAGGGCCTGCAGGATGTCAGACAGTGAAACAATTCCCTTGACCACATCATTTTCATCCACCACTACAAGTCGGTGAACCTGGCACAGGGCAACAAGGGAGAAAGGGAATGTTTAGTGCTGGCCTCAAGGGAAGCCCCTCTGTCCCTACCCACCTTGCCAAACCCCACTCTCAAGGCTGCTCCCCACAGCTTCTTTAGGGTTGCTGGCCTCCCTACCTCTGCTTCCACTAGCCTGTTGATGATAGTCTCCAGAGTCTCATGCAGGTAGCACTTGAGAACACCCTCAAAGTAATGTGATCGATGTTGCAGGGCTTTAGTCACAGACACATCTAGGTTGTTGTAGGTCTTTTCTGCTGCCAGATTCTGGGAAGACAGAGGAAGGAGCTTGCAGGGAAGCAAGGGAGCCAGCCTCCAAACCCTGAACCCATCCAACCTCACCAGAGGGATTCAGGGAACTGCCAGCCACAAGCCACACCCAACTCATTCAATTTCTTTTCTAATAGGATTTGAAAGCCTGGAAGCTTCTTTTTTTTTTTTTAAAATGGGGTTTCACCATGATGGCCAGGCTGGTCTTGAACTCCTGACCTCAAGTGATCCACCCACCTCGGCCTCCCAAAGTGCTAGGATTAGAGGCGTGAGCCACCACGCCCAGACTTTTTTTTTTTTTTTTTTTTGAAAGCCTGGAAGCTTCTAAGACCCTTAGATCACAGAAGAGACTCCCTTCTCCCCCACCATATTTAACAGCCCCACCCCTTCCCTACCTCCCAGACCCTCCACAATCACTCACGATCACATCAAACTTGGAGTAGATGTCCACCACACGCCCTAGGGGGACAGAGGCAGCTCAGTAAGGAGGATCTGGCATCTAAGACTCCCCCTACTCACAGAATCACCCTCCTGGCTGAGCTGAGGGGAAAGCAGATTTTCCCAGAGCCACCCTAACTTCCCTGGATCTTCCCTCCCTCTCCTTCTGCCCAATCTCTTACCCTTCTCATCCACCACTGGCAGGGCTGAGACTCGATGCTGTACAAAGATGCCCAGAGCCACATAGACAGGGGTGGTAGTGCGAACCATAGCAATATTGGCATAGGTGCCAATCTGTAGCTCTTCCAGAGACTTGGACATGAACTCTGGCTTGGGAAATTCAGTGATCTGAGGAAAGAGCCATCAGCTTAACTTTCAAGGCACGCAAAACCACCCTTGGATACCCCTCCAAGCCAGTACGTAGAAATAAGGGCTGGTTACGCCAGCTTACTCCTGTAATTCCAGCACTGTCAAAGTCTGAGGCGGCATATTGCTTGAGCCCAGGAGTTTCAGACCAGCCTGGGCCATATGGCAAAACCCCATCTCTATAAAAAATACCAAAAAATCAGCCAGGTGTGGTGGTACACACCTGTAGTCCCAGCTCCTCTGGGGGTTGAGGTGGGGGGAATCATCTGAGCCCAAGAGGTGGAAGCTGAAGTGGGCCATGATAGCGCCTCTCCACTCCAGCCTGGGCAACAAAGTCAGACCTTGTCTCAAAATAAATTAATTAATAAATAAGAACTGGGGCTGGATGCAGTGGCTCACACTTGTAATCCTCATCTCTTTTTCAACAAATAAATAAATAAATGAAAAAAGAAAAAAGAACTGGGCTGAGGAGTACTTACGAATAATTTGAGAAACTTCAGAATGCGTTTGTGGGTGAGGATATACAAAGTATTGCCCGATTCTGGGTCAATAACTGGCAGCCTGTGGATCTTGTTCCGAATTAATGAAGAGACAGCATCAAACAAGCTGTGGGAAGGTGGGAGACAATAAGTTCCACAGTACTGGGGCTAAGGGTGGTTAAACTGCTCCATACAGTGTATAGGTAAACAGGGAAAACTGAGGGTTAGGGAAGTGGGGCAGTGTACATGCCAGACGAGAGAGAGAGAGAGAGAGAGAGAGTGAGTGTGTGTGTGTGTTTTCTCTCTTCTTTCCCTTTCCCCGGGTGTCTAGAGCATTAGCTATGCTGATGGCAAATCTCTTCCCACTTTGGACAGATGAATAGACAGCTGGAACTCACCTGGCATTAGGAGAAATGCAGACAAGCGGTTTAAAGGAGTCCTGGAGGTACACCTCTGAAGGGAAAAGGGATGGGTCATAAAATACCATCATGGAAAAGTGTTTCCCAGAAACCTTCCATCCCTTTATCCTTTTACAACCCCAATTCTCTGCATACCTCTCCAAGTTTCTATCTTGTGTTCTTCTAGCTCATAGATCTGTACCTGAAAGCAGAAGCAACAGAATTTGAGACCTGATCTCTCTACTTCCTTAAGCCCTTGTGGCTTGCTTGGAGGAAAAGAAATGAGAATGAGGGACTTAGGGTAGAGAAAGTGATTTTGATCATTAGGCTAAAGTTCCTTACCAAGGCTGATTTATAGTAGCGGTGCAGAATATTGATGAAATCAGTGATGGTCAGCATACCTAGAGGACAAGACAGAGCCCTCAGCACTGCCCGAAGCTTCTATCCCTGCCCAGCACAAGATGCTAATAATACTGTGTTGCTGAAACTTTTGCTTACCCACAAAACTTTGCTTCTTACTATCCCATAAAGGGGCAGCCCGTACACCGTTAGTCACCAAAGCAAAGAAAGCTTTCTTCACCTGTAGCCAAGACAGGAATAATCATAAAGGCAAATCCATAGGGGCAAGACTGTAAAAAAGAACACTGTTTGAGCATGTTGGATAAAACATGAGACTAAGTTCACAGAAGGATAAGGATGCTACCCTTAGGATGAGATAGGATGAGAGGTATTAAACCAAAGGCTCCAAAAGGGGAAGGGAAAAGAGGATTTCACCCACCTGCAGGGATGTATCAAATACAACCAATTTGGAGCTTGTGGGAATCAGGTCATAGCAGCGATGAGACTTCATGAAGGAAGTATACACGCTATTGTCGGATTCTGGGGTCTCTGCATAGGGTGGAATAGTTAGTAGCTTCCTTGCACATAAAAACTCCCAATCAAAAGAGACAGAAAACAAAATAGTGTCCTAGTATCTCAAATATTTAGAGCATGATTTTTTATAAGGTCCCTTATTTTATCTTTTGTTCTATTGTTTCCACAAAGCCTGGATAAACCTCTTAGAAACCATTTCATCCAACCCCTATCTCCAGATTAAGACTTTATCTATTGGTCCCTATAGGTAAAAGAAAGTTGACTAAAACCTAAAGTCTATAGTATCTCTTTAACATGTTATATATAGTCTAAATTTTTTTCTCATCTTTAATCCAAGCCTTCCCTTTCATATATTTAGCACATTTTTCACTTGTTCTCTTTTTTCAATGAAGTAAGCTTCTTAAAATTCTTTCAAGACTGTGCTGGGCATGGTGGCATGCACCTGTAATCCCAGCTATTTAGGAAGTTGAGAGAGAGGATCATTTGAACTCAGGAGTTTGAGGCCAGCCTGGGCAACATAGCAAGCCCCTGTCTCAATTAAAAAAAAAATATCCTAAGACCTGCAAATGGGAAAGTCATGGTCCAAGTTGGGCCAGTTCTCATCAACAGTCAGTTAGATCCCAGTGCTCAATCAACCTGGCTCAAAACACCTTGAGAGTCCACTTTGGGATCACCCTGTAAATCAGAAATCATCCCACCTACTTGAGACAAATAGAAGATCCTGGCTAGGATTACCTTTTTCTATTCCTGTGATTTTAATTGCTTGCTCTAAACTAGGGAAGCAATCTCCCAAAATAATAGTTTGAATGTGCTACATACTATACTACACGTACTTAAAAATATTACATTGGCTTGGCGAGGTGGTTCACGCCTGTAATCCTAGCACTTTGGGAGGCCAAGGTGGGTGTATTACCTGAGATCAGGAGTTTCAGACCAGCCTGGGCAATATAGCAAGCCCCTGGCAAACATGGCAAAACCACATCTCTACTAAAAAAAAAAAAAATACAAAAATTAGCCAGGCGTGGTGGCACGCGCCTGTAGTCCCAACTACTTGGGAGGCTGAGGCAAGAGAATCTGAGGCTTGAACCCGGTAGGCAGAGGTTGCAGTGAGCCAAGATCCTGCCACTGCACTCCAGCCTCGGCAAGAGAGTAAGACTCTGTCTCAAAAGAAAAAGAAAAAATTTACATCATTTAATGCTTACAACAAATCTGTAAGTACTGTCCTGTTTCAGATGAGAAAATAGGTGTAGTTAAATAAACTGCTCAAAGTCACACCAATAATAAGTGGCAAGAAAGACTCAAACTCAGATCTGATTCCAAACTTCATGCTCTTAAGTCTTTAGCCAATTTATTTAAATTTTTTTTAACCAAAGTTATACAGGCATACAGTTTAAAGAGTCAAACACATTTACAAATTTTGTTAAGAAAAAAATGCAGTCCTTGCAACCTACCTCCCTGTACTACCCTTCCCCAGAGATGTGAACATCTACCTCTTTTAGTTGATTATTTTGGTACTTAATTCTATATCCTTAAATAACATGCTTGTATTGCCAGTTTCAGATTTTTTTTTTTTTTTCATTTTGGGGCATTATTTATCATCTACCTACCAAGGAAGATGAGAATCTCTATTTCTCTTTCCTACTAGGGCTTCATCACAAACATGTACTTCCCATCCTCCCCCTACTTCCCATCCTCCCCATTCCTCCAGGAGCTAAAACATGTTGGTTATATCTGTATTTAAATCCTTTTTTTTTTTTTTTTCCTGAGAGGGAGTCTCACTTTGTCACCCAGGCTGGAGTGCAGTGGCAAAATCTCGGCTTACTGCAACCTTGGCCTCCCAGGTTAAAGCGATTCTCCTGCCTCAGCCTCCCAAGTAGCTGGGATTATGGATGCCTGCCACCATGCCCGGCTAATTTTTGTATTTTAGTAGAGATGGAGTTTCACCATGTTGTCCAGGCTGGTCTCAAACTCCTGACCTCAAGTGATCTCTCCGCTTCAGCCTCCCAAAGTGCTGGGATTACAGGCATGAGCCACTGCCACCAGCCAATATTTAAATCATTTTGACTGAATGTTTATTATTCAGAGATAAGCCAAATAGTAAACTCTGATTTTTTTTCTTCCTTTCACAACTTTGTTTTCCCTGGAGTTAATGGTCTTGTCCTTCTGTTTAACTTTCATTTTTTTTGAGACAGTCTTGCTCTGTAGCCCAGGCTGGAGTGCAGTGGTGCGACCTCTGCAACCTCTGCCTCCCAGGTTCAAGTGATTCTCCTGTCTCAGCCTCCTGAGTAGCTGGGATTACATGTGCTATCATGCCCGGTTAATTTTTGTATTTTTTAAAGTAGAGACAAGGTTTCACCATGTTGGCCAGGCTGGTCTAGAACTCCTGACCTCAGGCGATCCACCCGCCTGGGCCTCCCAAAGGGCTGGGATTACAGGCATGAGCCACCACGCCCAGCCTGTTTGTTTAATTTTTTCTGTATAATTCCCATAACTAATCCAATCCCCAAATGCTTCAAGAGGTTCAGAAGCATTAAATAGTCTATCAATTTAAACTACCCAAAGAAGTCTCGCTGGAGCCTTCTGACCTGCTCAAATCTGGGCTGGTTTGTCTGGTGTGCACTGCTGTCATCCTGGGATCTACATCACCATCCTGGGTACCCCTTTCAAGTCTTTCCTCTACTGGTGCTCCTGTTTCCTATATCACGTTTTCATCTTTTTTGATTACTCCCTTGTTTTAGTAGAACACATCTTCCAGTAGCTTCCTGAGAAAGGGTGCATGGGAGGTACATTTTTTGAGAACTTTCAGCCTGTAGATATCTTTATTCTACCCTCATCCTTGATTTATAATTTGGCTGAGAATTTGCAGGAAAGCTTGGAATTTATTTTCCTGCAGAATGTTGAAGGCATTGCTCCACTGCCTGCTAGTTGCTAGAGTTGAGAGTCCAAGGCAATTCCGACTCTTTTTATGTGACTTTTTTTTTTCTCTCTGAAAACTCAATACGATCTTCTCTTTGTTTTCAGTGTTCTGAAATCTCACGATGACTGTGCTTTGGGTGGGTCACTTTCATCCACTGTGCTGAATATTTGATAGGTCCTTTCAATATGAGAACTAACGTCCTTTTTTTTTTTTTAAAGACGACCGTGGTCTATGGCATAGACAAGGCTCAGGAAACAAAGGTCACTGACAGTAGGGAAAAAAAAGGCACAGCTAAGGGTGGATAATTCCTATTCTCTTGGTGCTCCCTGCTTCACTGTTGTAGGTCGCAATAGCACCCATGGGAGAACTAATGTCCTTAAATTCCAATAAATGTTCTTGAATTATTTCATCAATTATTTCCTTCCCTCTGGGTTCCTATTTTTATTTCTGTGACTCCTATTTAGATATTGGACTTCCTAGACTGATCCTTTAATGTTTGTTTGGGGATTTTGTTTTGTGGGTTGTTGAAATCTTTTGTCTCTCTCTCTCTCTCTCTCTCTCTCTTTTTTTAGAGGCAGGCTCTCATTCTGTCACCCAGGCTGGAGTGCAATGGTGAGTGAGATCATGGCTCACTGCAGCCTTGACCTTCTGGGCTCAAGCAATTTTTCTGTCTCAGCCTCCCGAGTAACTGGGACTATAAGTGTATGCCACCATGCCTGGCTAATTTTATTTTTTATAGAGACAGGGTCTTGCTGTGAGCTGGTCTCGAACTCCTGTGCTCCTGCCTCGGTCTCCAGAAGTGTTAGGATTACAGGTATAAGCCACTACGCCTTCTCTCCTATTTTCTACTTTGTTGATTTTTAACCCTGCTTTCTAGGAAATTTCCTCATGTTGATTTTTGAAACCTACAACTGGATTTAAATTTTTGCTCTTATATTTTTAATTTCCAAGAGTTCCTTTTTGTTTTATGAAAATTCCTTCTTTAAAAATTGAATCCTAAGGCCGGGCGCGATGGCTCAAGCCTGTAATCCCAGCACTTTGGGAGGCCGAGGCGGGTGGATCACGAGGTCAAGAGATCGAGACCATCCTGGTCAAAATGGTGAAACCCCGTCTCTACTAAAAATACAAAAAATTAGCTGGGCATGGTGGCGCCTGCCTGTAATCCCAGCGACTCAGGAGGCTGGGGCAGGAGAATTGCCTGAACCCGGGAGGCGGAGGTTGCGGTGAGCCGAGATCGCGCCATTGCACTCTAGCCTGGGTAACAAGAGCGAAACTCCATCCCCCAAAAAAAAAAAAAAAAAAAAAAAAATTGAATCCTATACTTGTTTCATGGTGGAAATAAGTTTTTTTGATTTTTTTTCAGACAGTTTCGTTTTTATCTCCCAGGCTGGAGTGCAATGGTGTAATCTCGGCTCACTGCAACTTCTGCCTCCTGGGTTCAAGCAATTCTCCTGTCTCAGCCTCCCAAGTAGCTGGGATTATAGGCCTATGCCACCACGCTAGGTTAATTTTTGTATTTTTAGTAGAGACAGGGTTTCATCATATTGGTCAGGCTGGTCTCGAACTCCTCACCTCAGGTGATGCACCTGCCTCAGCCTCCCAAAGTGCTGCCACCGAGTCTAGCTGTTGTTGTTTTCTTTAAAGATACACTACTTTCACAGGTATTGAGAAATGTGTTCTTTTACCTGAGATTATATTAATGTTATCAAAGTTTTCTTCTCACCTTTTCCTTTCAGTTGCTTTTTTCCTGTTTGTTTCTTCTGGGTGTACGTGAGGTTGGGAGGGGCAGTTTGCTTTTTCATTTTCATTTACTTTTTTACCAGGGAGATAGAGCCTTCAAAGTAAAACAATGGTACCTTCCAGGGTGGGGTGGGGGGCAGGTGGATCACTTTTTTTCACAGATGCTTTCTTTAGATGTTTGGTAATCTTTGGTTTAAAGAATTTAAACCGTATCTTTAGAGTGGAGGCTTTAAGGCTGAGTGGAAGCTCTGTGTGTAAGTGAGACTTGTTGACTGTGAGTCATTGGATAGGGAACATTCAATACCTTATATATTTTAGGACTTTCAGGAGGATTCTGGAGAGAAGAATTATTTAATTTTGTGCTTGGAGGGTGAAGTCTTTTCTACTAGCACTCTGGAAACTGAATAGGGAAGAGGACTGGAGGCTCAGCATCGAGTCTAGTTCACTACATGCTCCTGTTTTCAGTGCAGTACTTCAGCCCTAAGCTGTGCCCAAGTCCCTTGCCAGACTTCCACTCTTTGCCACAGGTGGGAGAGGGAGGTGCCCATGGTGTCTTGGGATCTGACTGTTTCTTAGACCTTCAGTGCTTCTTGGCTTTTCTTACTGCTAGTTATAACTCAGTCTTCTCAGGTCTGCTAAGTCGTTCATCACTCTTTTGTTTGCTTTTCGCTTCCAAAAATTCATTGCTATCATCTCCTCTCCTGTTTTCCCTATGGTGTGTGTCTTTTTCTTTAAAAAATTCCTTTATGGTGGTTTCAGGGAATTTTTGTGAATATATATTCTCTACCATCTTTTTTTTTTTTTTTTTTTTTTTGAGACAGTCTTGCTGTCACCCAAGCTGGAATACAGTGGTGTGATCTCCACTCACTGCAACCTCCGCCTCCTGAGTTCAAGAGATTCTCATGCCTCAGCCTCCCAAGTAGCTGGGATTACAGACATGAGCCACTATGTGCAGCCCAATCTACCAATCTGCCATCTTCAACAGGAAGCCTACCACTGTTATTCAAACTTGGGAATTCAGACTCCCAAGAACACGACTTTGGACATCAGTTGAAGATATACTACATTGACAGTTAAATATTATCATTCAGGCCACAGGCCCACAAACATATTGGAGTTGGTTTTCTCAGAGTTTCTTTGTTTGTTTATAATTGAGACAGGGACTTACTCTCCACGCAGGTTGGAGTGCAGTGGCACAATCACGGCTCACTGCAGCCTCAACCTCCTGGGCTCAAGTGATCCTCCCACCTCAGCTTCCCTGGTAGCTGGAACCAGAGGTGCACACCACCATGCCTGGCTAATTTTTAAATTTTTTATAGAGACAGGGTCTCACTAAGTTATCCAGGCTGGTTTCCAACTCCTGGGCTCAAGTGATCCGCCTGCCTTGGCCTCTCAAAGTGCTGGTATTACATTGTGCCCAGCCTTAAAATAATTTAAATCAGAATTTTAAAATCTAGAAATGTACATAAAAATCTAAATTTCTAGTATCTTTTTTCTTTCTTTTTTTTTTAATTTCTAGTATCTTTTCAAAACCAGAAGATCTGGCAAAAATAGGTCTTAAGTGACCAGACCTGGAGAATTATTCCTTTTTTTTTGTTTGAGACAGAGTTTCACTCTTGTTGCCTAGGCTGGAGTTTCACCATGTTGGTCAGGCTAGTCTCAACTCCTGACCTCAAGTGATCCCCCATCTCAGCCTCCCAAAGTGCTGGGATTACAGGTGTAAGCCACTGTGCCCGGCCCTTTTCATAATTTTTTGTTCACACCCAGTGGCTTTAATGAGTTTGCTGGGTGATGAAATCCTGGTGGCACTGTTTCTGGACTATGCAAAAAACACCCAGGATTTCTAAAACATAGTTAGCCAGCCCAGAGTTGCCTATGGAAGTTTTCCCTGTACCTCAGACGTTTCTCTCAAGTGGTCCGATAATTGAAGACACTAATTATCTCCACTCTGCCCAAGATTTATTCCTAGGTGATCTTGTCAAACTACTGTCACTGATTTTTGTGGTTTGGCACATTATCTGGCCCTGCTTTGACTTTCCCAGGGGAGAGATTCAAAAGCACTGCTGGCTGAAGACATTGTTAGGGTCAGGCTATTGTTTTCATGTCCAGTTTCCTTTCTTCAGTAAACTTACCTTGAGGATGCTCATTTTCCACAGCTGGGGAGCTATCTGAAGAAATGACCTGGAGAGACAAGAAAACAGATTCAGTTTAACCTGGTTCTATAACAACATTAGGGGAAGGGCTGGTGAACAAATAATAAATGACTCCCTTTAAAGCACTATAAAGCCCCTGCTCCCCCCACCCATTTTTTGTTTTTGAGACAGGGTCGTGCTCTGTCACCCAATCTGAAGTGCAGTGGTGTGATGACAGTTCACTCCAGCCTTGGCCTCCTTAGGCTCAGGTGATCCTCTCACCTCAGCCTCCTGAGTAGCTGGGATTACAGGCACATGCCACTATGCCCAGCTAATTTTTGTATTTTTAGTAGAGATGGAGTTTCGCCATGTTGCCCAGGCTGGTCTTAAACTCCTGGGCTCAAGTGACTGCCCTCCTTGGCCTATCAAAGCACTACAATTATAGGCACGAGTTACTGCACCCAGCCTTGTAAGGGCCTTCAGACATATGAGCTCATTTAACCTTCAAAACAACCCTGAGGTAAAAACTGTTATTAGCCTTATTCTCACAATGTCTCTGAGGGTCAAGAGACATTAAGCAACCTTCCCAAGGTCACATGGCTGATGAGGGGTAGAGTAGGCATTCAAATACCTATCTTCTGGTTCCAAAGCTTGTGGTTTGCTTTTTTTAACATCAAAATTTTAATAAATAACAAATGTGAAAAAACACAGTATTTATTTATATTATTACTATTTTTTGGAGATGGAGTTTCACTCTTGTTGCCCAGGCTAGAGTGCAATGGCGCAATCTCAGCTCACTGCAACCTCTGCCTCCTGGGTTCAAGCGAATCTCCTGCCTCAGCCTTCCAAGTAGTTGGGATTACAGGCATGCACCATCACACCTGGCTAATTTTGTATTTTTAATAGAGATGGGGTTTCTGCACGTTGGTCAGGCTGGTCTCAAACTCCTGACCTCAGGTGATCCGCCTGCCTTGGCCTCCCAAAGTGCCGGGATTACAGGTGTGAGTCACTGTGCCTAGCCAAAAAAAAAAAAAAAAAAAAAATTTTAAACTACTTATACCTAACAAAATGATTTCTTATAACTGACAAAGAGTTTGGTTGGATTTATCCGACAGTGTTCATTTTTGTAATTTTTTTTTTTTTTTGGCAGATTCTTGCTCTGTTGCTCAGTCAGTCAGGCTGGTTTCAAACTCCTTGACCTCAGGTGATCCAGCTGCCTCAGCCTCCTGAAGTACTGGTATTACAGGCATGAGCCACCGTACCCAGCCATTTTAATAAAATTTTTGAATGCATTTACTCCATTCTGATAAAATTCCACCTCTCTGGAATCAAAAAAGAGAAGAAACCAATACTGCTACAATATTGTGCTTTCCAGAAATGCTTCTATCCACTTTTGAGCTGAATGAGCATCATCTGCAAAGCTCATGTTCTTATACACTATACTGCCTAATGAAACATTAGGTCCTAAAAGCTAAGGTGAAAAGATCTGGGCTTAGGGCTAACCCCTACAAGATTCTCACAGATCTATTTTATGAAAACTTGGAAGCCAGAAAGATAGCATTGTCTTCCCCAAACACTGACACTCACTCACTAGGCATAGTTGTAGGCACTGGAACCACAGAAATAATCTTTACCATTGAGAGAGGACCACAAGTAGATAGGATCCCCGTAGCTGACTGTCAGCCAGTCAAAGCCTGCATGACTGAGGGGTGGATAAGGAACATGAATGTTCTGAAACTGGGGACTCGAGTCCACTCAGCACCCTTGTGAGTCAAAGGCTGCTACAGCCAGGGGATGCTGGTTTTCCAAGTTTCCTTTCCCTAGATAGTCTGAGAGTAGACAGTGTTTCGACTAGATAAACCTTGGAACCATTTCTGTGCTCCCTCAAGTGGGAACATTTGGAAATGCCATTGTTATTTGGGAACCCAGGAGGTTTCACAATTTTCATCTGCTAGCATCAACAGTCTTGGCTCCATTTGCTCTGGGTGATACCTCCAAACTAACCTAAAACCATACTTCATCCCCATAGCTTCTGTAGTAACATGACATAAAAACTTCAACCTGGGAGGCTGGCTGACAAAATTCCTAAACCCGGGAAGTTTAATACAGCCCTACACTTTTCTCCCTTCATAGGCTAGCAAAGAGAGCAGGGAGTAAGGGGGATATTCTCCCTCTCTTCTTTCTGGACTACATAAGGCTATTAGCTTGGCCTGCCATTTTGGCAAGACTATCGGAACAACAGCCTCATCACTTATAAGCGGGAGAGAGGGTTGTTTAGTGGTGAAGATAGACACATGATATATCGGAGTCTCACAAAGATCTATACAAAGGCACAGCAACAGCTACTTCTGTAGAATTTACTGCACCCATCATACGATATATATTGTACTGTGCTACAGTTATTTTGTTCATTATCTATTCAAAAAGATTATAAATTCCTGGAAACTTAGAACTACCTTATATTTTGTATCCCCCATACTATTTGGCACAGGGTTTTGCATATAATTCACAGTTGTTTTTTTTTTTTTAATCCTCAAAGAATGATGCACACTGATATCAACAGATATACCCAAGACTAAGTTACAGAGAGAGGAAAGAAACATACAGCTAAATAGAGATACAGATACCAATATAAGAGACTCAAACAAACTGACTATGTGACTTTTAACTTTCTGCCTGTTTCACTATATCAGGGGGGGAATTATCTAATTATGTCCACTTTTTCTTTTTTTTTTTTCTTTTTGAGACAGGGAATCACTCTGTCACCCAGGCTGGAGTGCAGTGGCACAATCATAGATCACTGCAGCCTTAACTTCCCCAGCTCAGGCAATCCTCTGACTTCTGCCTCCCAGGCTGCCAGGACTATAGGCACACACCACCAAGCCAAGCTACTTTTTGTATTTTTTTGTAGAGATGGGGTCTCACTATGTTGACCAGGTTGGTCTTGAACTGCTCGGCTCAAGCAATCCGCCCACCTTGGCCTCCCAAAGTTCTGGGATTACAGGCATGAGCCACTGTGCCTGGTCTCCTTTCTACTTCTTCTTTTTTTTTTTTTTTTTTTTTCTTCTTCATTGACCATCCTTTCTACTTCGAATAACACAGGGGACCAGAGAAATTACCACTGTACCATGTAAGTACAAAATATTACAGAGACACAGTCTACATCTGACAAACAGACTCACAATTTCTTCCAAACCTCTGATCTACATTTGCAATTATTTGTTTGATAACCACAGATATCACAGAGACTACTCAAATGCTTCAATACGAAACATTTGTCCCTCTAATCCTATTATTCTATGTGGTTCCCATCTATGTTTTGCATAGCTGTCTTCTTAACATGTATCAACTAAGCTGGTATATTAGAAATGCCTCAGATCCATCTCTCTCATTGCCAATTTCACAGCCTTAATTTAGGCTTTTATCTCTCACTTCTGCAACACTGTTTAAACTGGCGTCCTTGCCCCAAAACTATCTGTTCTTCACTTTATCTTTCACGCTTTCACCAAGTTTGCTCACCAAAGCATCTCAGGTTTGGAAGGTTACTTTCATCTCCAGTAACAAGAAACTTTACTTTCTACTTTCTGAAGTAGCTCAGTCCATGTACAGAAAGCTGCTATGAACATTCCTAAAGGACATTCACTGACTTGCTCATAAATCTTCCATAGGTCCCCTATTATAAAACAAAGTTCAATTTTAGCATGGTATGTAATACTTTCAACCTGATCTTAGCCTTCTTTTCCAGTCTTTTCTCCCACTATGACCAAAATCCAAACCCAGCAACATCAAACCACTGGTTCACTCCCAATTCTCTACATACCCCAATTTCAGTGCCCTTGCTCATACTGTTCTCTCAATTTGCAGTGCCCTCTCCCAGGTCCAAAGTAATTTTTCTCTCAACTATGCTGTCACAGTCCTTTGTCTGCATATTGATGATAGCATTTATTATAGTCTATCTTTAAATAACAGCTATTGCTGGCTGCCCTCAGGCTGAGCATTTTCAAAAGTTGTTTTTTTTTTTTTTTTTTTTTTTTGGAGACAAGGTCTCACTGTGTCACTCAGGCTGGAAGGCTGGAGTGCAGTGGCATGATCTCAACTCACTGCAGCCTCCACCTCCCTGGATCAAGCGATCCTCCCACCTCAGCCTCCCAAATAGCTGGGGCTACAGGCACACACCACCACCACCACCATGCCTGGGTAATTTTTGCATTTTTGTTTTTTTTCCAGACAGAGTTTCATCACTGGTGTAGTACTCCTGAGCTCAAGCAATCCATTTGCCTTGGCATCCCAAAGTACTGGGATTACAGGCGTGAGCCACCACACCTGGCCAAGTTTTCTTTTTCTTCTTTTTAATTTCCATCCCAGAACCTAATCCACTACATAAAATGTGAAGGCTAAATTAGAAAATCTATATAAAAATGCTTTGTAAACCATAATACATTTATAAGTAGGTAGACTATGTTATTTTAAATTTAATGAAATTAGACTCCTTATTTTTGTTCAAGATTATCTTAATTAGTCAGAACTGGCTCCCTTGCCTGGGAGACCAACTACGAATCATTTTACTACTTTGGTCGGTTTTCTGTTTGAAAACCTGAAAGAAACAACCTCTCTGTAGGCAGGGAAAGGGTGTGGCAAAGAATTACTCTGGGCATGTCCCAGAATAACTCTTATGAATCACTTATGAATTAGTTACGAAAGTAAACCTGCAGTCCTTTCATAACTACAGTAGCTGATAATAAAAACCAACATGGAAACAGTTACTCTGTCTCAAAGAAGACACATGGTTAAAAACTGTGGAGAGGGAAGTGTATGGGAGGAATTACAGAGCGCTAGAAAAAGACTCCTGAGAGTGAGGGTGGGTGCAAACATGTAGCAGGCGACCCGCAGCATCTGTGGGAGGGTGACAGGGCCCTGCCACAATTGGTCAATGCCTGCTCGCCAAGAATAAGGTATGCCAAAATTCCCGCTTAGAGTCGCAGACCGGGTCATGACCTAAACTTGTCCAAGGGACACAGTGGCCTCTAACACTGCAAGATTTCCTCTTTCAAGCAAACCCCAATTCTCGGTCTTATTAAGGAAATGTGACTTCACTGGATGCATTACAAAGATCTTCAGATGTCCTCCTGCCAGGGATTACAGGGATCACAGTCAGACCACCGAGGTCCAGTAGCAACCTGCAAGCGGAGATCCCTCTGGACGTCCCCTGCCTCACCCAGCAAAGCTGGATCACAGCCCTGCCCTCTCAAGCAAACCTCTGAAAGGGCTTGAGGTGCTAAGAGGAAAGGAGGCCCGAGATTGCCATGGCATACGTGGGCTCGCTCCAAGGAGCGAGCCAGGAGTCACTGCCTGCTCGGGCTAAGGGTACCGCGTAAGGAAAGGCGGCGGGGGCGCGGCCCAGTCCTAGGATACGCGCCCAGCGAAGAAGTGGAGGGACAGGGTCACGGGATAGGGCAGACACCCGGCTGCTTCTTGTTTGCTAGACACCAGCGCCAGCCCCTGCCCGGCCCTCCCGGTCTCCTAACGGGGGTCTTAGGCTCCACAGCGCCCCCGACCGCCCTCCGGCACTCCTCACCGTCTCCATTGCAAGACGCGCCGGCTTGGTTCTCTCGCTTTAGGAAGCTCTCTTGGGGCAGGCCCCGCCCCACATCCGGTGCGGCAACGCCACATCCGCCCACGTCACGGCAGTCGCCAGACTAGGGCGGAAGACGGAGAACCCACCCTTCCGGCGGTGGCGGGCCTCGGTAACCGCCCTCCCCCGTTCCTCGCAGACCGCACGGATCCCGCTGATGGCAAGGGTCACGGGACGGAGTCGCTTGTATTTAAAATGTTCTTTTTTTATTTGTTGTTTAAAAACAAACTCGGAAGAAGCAAAATCCAAAACTTGCCCTTTGCCTCTCGCAACATAAATTATGTACAGTTCAGAATGATCGCTGATACAAAACATGCCAAGGACAGGGGCGCTGAGGGTGGAGGGAGAGAGGGCGCTTTAAAAAAGGGAACCATTTCATCCGTTGTTACGAAGGACCAACCTTGCTGTACAGGATACACACAACACAAAATAAAGTTTTCACGGGATTCACACTTGTCAGCGATTTATTTTTTAAAAAGGGGGGAGGGTCCTGGAGGTGAGGGGAGAAGACTGTAAAGGGGAAAACTGAAAATTGAGTATGTGCGAGTGTAAACCAACCCAAAATACAAACATGGGGGGTGGAGGATTTTGATGCAATTATACAGGCAGGGTACTTAAAAAAAACCGACAACCAAAATTCCAACCTTGTAGCTTGGGTCTGAGTTATAGTTTATATAAAAATTAAAAACTGTATAAGGTTTCTTCACTAAATTCTACAGGACTATCGGATACCTAGCATATGCTTACAAAGTCTGCCCCATCCCCTTTTCCCAATCCCAGGACCCAAGCCCCAAACAGAGCCTGACTCACAGGAGCCAATCTCCCCATCCCTGTAGCCTAGACCTTCTGCTCTCGGAAAAGGAACATCCAAGGGCTGTGGCTTTGAGGGGAGCAGCCCAGTCTCCCTACTGTCTGATTTAATTACAGCGGTTCCTGTGGGAGTGGGGGGTGTTATTCTCTTAAACATTTGCAGCTTGAAACAGTTGAGGAAGCAGCTTAAATAAAAAAATCTCCCTACCCCCAACAATCCACAACCCCCCAAATTCAAAACAAAACAAAAACAAACCTAAAATCACAACAGCGACCAAGCTCCCCCTCCAGCAGGCCCGCCCGTCCACCACCACCACCAAGCCCACCCCTACACTCCAGACATTTGATTCTTGAAAATAGTAATTACAAAATGCCCTTTGCCCACAGCCCCTAGAAGATAACTGCATATAAGCTTCATCTTCATCCCCATGGTTCCCTACCACAGAGGGGTTTGGGGCCTCACCCACCCCTTACCTACCCCCACCCGCAGGAAGAGGTTCAACTGCAGCACTAGCTTGGGCAGAAAGGGGAAGGAAAGGGAGGCAGGGAACCCATCACCCTCTGGCTCCCCCTGGGGTCAGCTCTCTTTTGTGCGTTATAACATAGTCCAACTATACAACAGGGGGTGGGAATCGCCCAGCCTCTATACCCCCATCTTACAGCAGTCACAGCCAGGGGGTGGGGAGTGGGGTGGGGGGGGTGAGGAAAAGGGCGGTAGGTTGGGTAATGGAGTGGGCCCCCCCACAAGGGGAGCTCCATGTGTCCGCCCCACGCCCCCCTACCATTTATAAACTGGTTTTGTAAAAAGAAAATAGATATATTTATATAGAATATATAAAGCACAAAAATTAGTAGTTTTACATTTGCTCTCCCCGGGGGTGGGGGGAGAGGGGAGGGTTCTCACCTCCAGCCGGCTCCCCCATGCCCCACAAGACTATGTACAATCCCATGTATAAATAGATAAATACCCCCCACCCTCCCCGTGCTGACACTAAGCTCCCCCACCCCCACATCACCACCCCTTCCCACCAGACCAGCAGCAGTTTGGTGACTAAGGGAAAGTGGGAGCTCCGGGCCACACCCTGCCTCACTAGGTATGGGCATGCCACTCAGGGATAGCCCTCACCCTACCCCCCACCCAACCCATCCAGGGGCTGGAGGGCAAACGGGCTCATGATGGGGTTGGGAAAACAGGAGGGAGATATCCTGGTCCTAGGTTTAGCCCCTCCTGCCCCCATGTCCATATGGAGAAGGAAGTCCTAGAGCAACTAGGGGCCAGTCATCCCCAATCTTCATCATCATTTGCCTCAACCACCATCCCATGCCCATAATTAAAAACAAAGATGGATTTTTTGTTGTTGTTTTTCTTCCTCCTCCTACCCCGCTTCCACCCACTCAGAAGAGGGCAGTGAGGTGGGGGAGAGGGCTGGGGCAGTAAGGGGCTTGGAGAGGGTCTCACATTTCAAAACAGCAAAAAATCCAACACTTAAATGAGGTAGGTGTGGGTGCGGGGTCTCCTTGCCCGGCTTGCCCAGCTTGCCCTCCTAGGCAGCTGCGCGCCTCTTTCCCGTTCATGTTGCATTTGTCAGAGTGGAAAACAAGGAAACACAACCCATAGAGAGACAGAAACACAGAGGAAAAGAGGGAAACAGAGACAGATCAAGAGGGAAGGGTCTGGGGGTGAGGGTGGGGGCAGGACCCGGCAGGCAGGGCCAGGTGTGGGACCCGGCCTTTGGGATTGTCAAGCTTAGTCAAGTCTCTTTGCAGCCTTGAGTTGGGCCAGAGAGGTCAGTGGGAGCAGCAGGGCTGTGAGGCCCGGCCACACATCCTCTTCCCCCACCCTGCTGCCTCCCAGATGCTTCTGGGTAGTTCCCGGCCCATATCCCCCTCAAACCTGAGATGCCCAATGGCTGCTTCTGTCTGGCCCCTCCTGGAGCTGGGGGCAGAGATGCCAGCCTGAGGGCCGGTGGTGGGGAAGAGGGTTGTCCCTGGTGCCCAGGGTGGGCTTGGCCTAGGGCCCTCTGCCCCAGCCTCCTGCTCCAGGGGCTCCGGTCAGCCGGCAGCCCCAGCCCTGGGTCCTGGCTCTGGCTGCTACCTCTCTTCCCCCTTATCCCTTTCAGGGAAGAGGTTGGGGGTAGGGGGACTCCCCTGCCTGGTAGCCTCAAAGCTTCTTAGTTCATCCATTTCCGACAATTCCAGGCTCCACAGTGGCAGGGGATCTTGTGCTGATCGTCCTCAAAATCAAACTGATAGTCATAGGTTAGCTGAAAAGAGAAGAGGGCAGAATCAATGCTAGTCCCACACTGGAAGAGGGGAGGGCAGAGAAGATAGGATCTGAGGGGCACAGCCTAGGAACCCACATTTAGGGAATGGCAGAGAAGGGGTGAAAGGAGGAGGAGCTGCTTTGTCACTCACTCAGGTTACTTCCTCTCACCTCCTCTCCTTTGGGGATTCGCCGGCTGGAGATGATGATGATTTTGTCCTCTTTGTCAAATGTCACAACTTCAGCCACACAGTTAGGGGCACAGGAATGGTTAATGTACCTGGGCAGTGGGAGAGAGTCAGGAATGTCAGGCAGCTAAGTTGGGACAATTTTGATTCTTTGTTGGTTTACCCCCGAGTGCCACTCTCAGGGACCACTAAATCCCTCCTTCCTCATCATCGCTCACCTGGCAGGGCCGCCGGTCAACGTAGCATCAATCACATGTTCATTGTTTATTCGGAACATGTAGATGCCTCGATTCTAGAAAGGCAGAGGTTGCAGAAGAAGGGACAAGAGCATCAGAGGGTGGCAGCGGTGGCTGTGGGATCAGGTGGGAGACTCAGGCAGTGGGCTTCTCTTGCATGTTCTTCATTTCTCCTGCCTTTCCCTTCTCCCCACCACAGCCTTCCTCCTGCTCTCCTGGGACCAATCCTGCCCCTTGCTCCTTGGTTGAGTGCAGGCTATACACAATGGCCCCTCTGCCAGTTCATACCTGCTCCTCATAGATTTTCTCCCGCCGGTTGGCCACCTCGTTCCGAATGATGGTGCCAATGTACTCGATAACCATTGTGTGCTTTTCTAGGTCCTTGGCTGCATAGAGCCCCAGGCCCTGGATACGAGAGCGAGCCAGGTACACGTTGTTCTTCCATTCGGTTCGCAGCCGCCGGTACTGAGATGACTTGGAGTGCACAAACTGCTTGCTGTACGGGGTGTTGGTCTCGCCTGTGAAGGTGCTCTGATATGCCTTAGACATGCTGGTGCTGTTCAGGGTATGGGGCCTGGTAGGTGATACAATCCATGACAAGACAGCTCTCCTTCAGACCAAGCACACACCACCCACTTCCTCCACCTCCTCCTGGGTTGTGCAACACACGGGTTAGGGGCATGTGCCGCTGGCAAGCACTGGAAGTGCTGCCTTGGGAAAGAAGTAGAGGCAACTGGGTCTCAGCTCTGGTGAGGAAGCAACTAGCTACAGGGACTCTTCTGACATCCTGGGTGGCACAGAGAGCCCAGTGTGAGGGGTAGGGAGTGGAGGAAGCGGAGGGCACCAATTCCCCTACACTGAGCCTGCTCTCCCATCTCCCACTTCCTACCACTCTCCTGCCAAACCATTCTCAAGGCCATGCTCCTCTGGGAGGTCTTCCCCAGGCAGCCCTTGGCCTAGAATTTAAGCTGATGGTTTGCTTGAAAGTCTGAATCCTTCCTCCTACACATTATTGGAAGCCCTGAAAATGGGAGTTGTACCATGCTGGGCTAGATTTGAATTAAAACTGGCTGTAAACTCACAGCCTAAAAGGTGGTATCCTTTCTTCAGACTGTCCCCTTCTCTGACATAACATGGGCTCTGTGCAGATGGCTCAGTGCAGGGGAATGACTGCTGCCTGGCAGGATGCCTTTTACCACCCTAGGGCACCAGCCAAATTCTTGACCATCCCAGAGAAGTGGTTTTCAAATGTTTCTGGTTCTTTTTTTATTTAGCAGAAATCTTTACTTTTTTCTTTAACAAAATGTTGATTGGAACGCCAATACGTACACTAGATGACAATGGAGCTCTTCTAGTTTAATCCAATTTGGGAAAAGGAGAGCTATGCATGGGAAGGCCAAGTTCTACCCATCAGTTTATGTGTTCCAGGACTTTTGGGAACACATGCACACACAGTTTGAAAACCACCATTGCAGGGCATCAAGGACAAGGCTGACTAGTGATAGTCTGACAATCTACGACAGCCTAGGAGCCATCAAAGGCTTTCAAGAAAGCCCTGCTACCACAGATTCTGCCTCCCTCTACCCAGGGACCAAGATCCCTGGTACACAGAAAGAACAAGGCCCCACAGTGAAGAGGTAAGGGTCTGGTCCCAGCTGTGTGACATTTGCCTAGTCACTCAATCTTTCTGGGTTTCAGTTTTCTCAGCTGTAAAATGGGGGTCATACCACCTGCCCTACCTACCTCATAAGGTTGTTGTGAGGATCAAATGAGATAATGGATGTGAAAACGCTTTGAAAAAAAAAGTATAAAGTGCTATACAAATGTAAGGTTTTATTATTTTTCTATTATATCTCTATTTATTTTTGACACCAACATTCATGGGGAAGGGAAGGTGACCCTAGCACTCATGGGGTATCTGAGGTTTGGGAGAATCACAGGCCCTACCCTGGAAGTAAAATAGGAACGAGGTGACCAGGTCCCTTATATATTTCATAAAATGTCACCACTGTTTACCCATTACCTCCCCAAGGTGCCCAAGATCATTCTGTCCTATATCCCAAGTGCAGCTGAGCAGGTTGGGAGAGGAGGAAAAGGATACCCTACTAATAACTGTGTGCCCTCTGATTAGGAGGTCTAAGAGTGATTCCCCAGTTTCTCCATGAGAACTCTGATTTGCATCCTAAACCCTCATAATGGGACCAGAGGATCCCTATCAATACCCACACCCATATCCCTTGGCTCCAGCATCACAAGCTCACCGTTTGTAGTGTGTGAGGATTTTAGGCTCTGATCGGGCACAGCCAGTGGGGTTGATCATGAGTGGCAGCTCCATCAGGGGGTGGCGCCCATAGCGGAATAAATAATTTTGACAGCTCTCCACCCCGGGCAGCTGTGGGCACAGATCGTACTCACCTTAGCCTGAGGTCTTTTGGGGTTAGGCCAACGTTCTCAGTGCCCACTGAGCCCCCCAGCCCCCGGCCCCTTCTTACTGATTCAGCTATGCGAAGCACGGCATGCACCGTCAGCCCAAAGAGCTCCTCGCCCTTCAGATACTCAGGGAAGAGTCGCAGCATGTCAGCCTCTTTTCTCATGGCAGCCACAGGCTCAATGATGCGATTCCACACGGCTAAGAAACAAGGAAGAGAGCAGCCCTCAGAGGCAACTTCTCCTTACTGACCTCCAGTCCCTAAGCCCAATCTAGAACTGCAGTTGTTTTCTGTGGCCTTCATGCCTCCCTGTCATGAAGGTGTGTGGATCTTCTGGATCCTCTCTTGGCCTCCTAGTCCCACTATCTCTTAAGCAGGAGGCTTCCAACTCTAGGGAGTCATCACAGAGCCTTGAGACACAAACTCAAGACCCAGGCAACCCATCATAGGCTATGGAAGGTCCCTAGTGAAAGAGCAGGCATACTTTGGAGTTGGAAAAACTTGGGTTCAGGTTCTGGTACTGGCCATGGGACCTGGAGCCAAATATAGTCATGTGCAGCTTAACAACATTTCATTCAGTGAGGGATCATATATACAACAGTGGTCTGGTAAGATTATAATACTGTATTTTTACTGTATCTTTTCTATGTTTAGATGCACATACTTACCATATGTTACAACTGCCTACAGTATTCAGTACAGTTACATGCTGTACAGATTTGTAGCCTAGGAGCAATGGGCTATACCACAGAGCCTAGGTGTGTAGTATGCTACACCATCTAGGTTTGTGTAAGTACACTCTATGAAGTTCGCACAATGACAAAATCGCCTAACAATGCATTTCTCAGAATGTATCCCTGTCATTAAGCAATATGACTGTACTTAAATCTAAGACTCAGTTTTTTTATGTATAAACTGGCCATAATCGTAGTATAATACTTATCTCATAGGGTTGTAGGAACAAAATAAACGATACAAATCACTTAGCTTAGTTTGTGGCACATAGTACACACTCAAAAAAAGGGACCTGCTCTTACTGTTATTTTATCATTAACACTAAAACTAAAATCAAAATAATTGTTTTTTGTTTTTGTTTTTTTTGGAGATGGAGTCTCACTCTGTTGCCCAGGCTGGAGTGCAGTGGAGCGATCTTGGCTCACTGCAATCTCCACCTCCCCAGTTCAAGTGATTCTGCCTCAGCCTCCCAAGTAGCTAGGACTATAGGCACATGTTGCCACGACCAGCTAATTTTTTTTGTATTTTAGTAGAGACAGGGTTTCACCATGTTGCCTAGGCTGGTCTCAAACGCCTGAGCTCAGGCAATCTGCCCACCGTGGCCTCCCAAAGTGCTAAGATTACAGGCGTGAGCCACTGCGCCAGGCCTCAAAATAATTTTGATTTTGTCCAGGGAAAAACCACCACAAGGAACTCAGTTAGGATTAGGTTGGGTCAAGTGGATCATAGTCTCAGAACTGTTTCCTTTCTTTCCATTGAGGACAGAAAAGGGAAGTAGAATATGTGAGATTAGACAAGCAAAATATTTTCAACTACAAGGGAATTTAGGGTGACAGAGAGGTTGAAACACTTTCACTGGGAATTTTCAAGAGACCTCCTGCCTGCCTGAGTTGGGGGAAGGAGGATGGCTCACAAAGAGGCTATAGGTCCTCTTATGGACACTGGAACAGTGACCCTGGGAGAAACATTCCCCCTTCCATATTATCCATTTCAAGGGCCCAGTGCTCACCCTGGGGAGAGGCGTCAGTGAAGACCAGGTCCTCCAGGCCCTGCTCGATGACTTTGATTACAAACTCCGGCCGCCCGTTGTTCTCACCAATAGAACAGCGATAGCAACAGCGACGGTTGTTGGTGCGGAGGCTCCAATAGATGCGTGTGGCCTCGTAGCCAACGGGATAAAGGGCAGTGGCACTATGAAAGTCAGCCATCTGGTGAGGGAGCAGCTGTCCAATGGCGTGGAACACAAGGCCTCCCACACGGAACATGTGCAGCCGTTCTCCCCGCTGAATGATGCTGGCAATTTGCTTCACCTCGTCCCGCTCAATGTAGACCCGTCGGAAGACAGCAAAAGAGCTCAGCTCTTGCTCACAGGGCCCCTTGATCTTATGCATTGGACACAGCATGGTCTTGTCCTTGAAGAACATGCACTTGGCACGGATGGCACAAGCAAAATGGTAGACATTGGGGCAACGCATGCGATTGCAGCTGCTGGTGGCACCAGTTCGCTGGCACAGGGAGCACTTGGTTAGCAGTCCTCGGTGCAGGGCGACCTCCACATTCATCAGTGCCCCGCCCTGGGTCTCATACACCTCCGTGGACCAAAGGGCACAGTTGAGGTGCACCCAAAGGTCCAGGTCCAGGTTCAGCAGGCGGGCAGGCCCATCAGTGGCCCCGTCACCCTCCTCATGACAGAAACAGCAGCGACGCATGTCTCGAGGTACCTTGTCAGGTCTCAAGGCTGTGCCGAGCTGCTCCATAAACTCTGCCACTTCCCGCTCATCCTCCTGCCGCACATTGCCCTTCTGGATGGTCAGCAGCAGCCGCAGCCGCTTCCAGCGCACCCCTTTCCATTTCTTGAGGTGAGGGGGATGGGAATCTTCACCTTCTTCAGGGGGCCGGGCACGGGGCTTGGGCCGGGCTGATTCAGGGGATGAGGCCAGTGGCAGAGGTGAGGGGACGGGTGGCTCAGCCAAGGGTTCAGTGGGAAGTTCAACCAAGGGTTCAGCAGGGGGACTGGCAGGAGAGGGTGCCAAGGGGGAAGGGGGTGGGGAGGGTTCTTCAGGAGGTGGGGCCGAGAGCTGTCGCACATCCAGATTGGAGACATTGTAGGTATAGCTGTGCTGAGTGGGTGGCTCTGGGGCGGGGCTCTCCTGTAGGAGGGTGCCCTGTATCGTTAGTGCCAGCTCCTCATCTAACTAGCTCCCTTCTTCCCCTCACCCATATCTCACCCTCCCAAAAGGCCTCCACATTCTTTGCTCTACACAGCGCCTTTTTTCTTTTTCTTTTTTCTTTTTGGAGACAGAGTCTTGCTCTGTTCCCCAGGCTGGATCCAGTGGTGCAATCTGGCTCACTGCAACCTCCGCCTCCTGGGTTCAAGGGATTCTTGTGCCTCAGCCTTTTGAGTAGCTGGGATTACAGGCATGCACCATCACACCTAGCTATTTTTTGCTTTTTTCTTTATTTAGTAGAGACAGGGTTTTACCACGTTGGCCAGGCTGTTCTCAAACTCCTGGCCTCAAGTGATTCAGCCACCTTGCCTCCCAAAGCACTAGGATTACAAACATGAGCCACCACACCTGGCCGGCAGCCCCTTTTTTCTAACACGCACCCCTTTTTCTCCCCCAGACCTACCTGTTTGAAAAGGCTCAAGATGTCTAGTTGGCTCTTGAGGGTATAGCCAGGCAACACTGCATCAAACTGCTTCAGCCAATCAGGGCCAGTGTCTGGGCTCTTGCCTCCCAGACTCTTTTCCTTCCCACCTGCAGAAAGGAGTGGATCAGAGCCTCCCACCAGAATCATTCCTCTCAGGTACCAAAGGGCTTCCCTGCCACACTCACCAGGACCTTCAGCTTCCCCTTTCTTAGGCTCAGTGCCTGCCCGGGCAGGGCTCTCTGGGAACAGCACCTCATAGGAATTAGGGATCTTCATGCTTAGCAGCTCTGCCACTGCCACCATCACACCATTCAGGTTCTGCCAGGGAAGGGATGGGAGAGACATGTCAGCCAAGTGTCTGAGGTGAGCTCTACAACCAGCTGGGTGGGGACAAGGACACCTAGAACCCACTTCCCAGGGGAGGAGTTCTATCCTGCGTCACCCAGCTCTTTTACCACACTTCCCTCACAGCAGCCTTTCTCAAGCTGCTGTGGACACTGATGGGAGCTCCACGAAAAGGGAACTACGTCAACTATGTTTAGGAAATGATGCATGTTCTATCCATGACTTGGGGGCTCATGATACACGTTAGCAAATTAAAGGACCTGAAACCCATATTGTCGTTTTAACTGGGTTTTCCAACTTACTTTGACCACAAAAGCCCATTAATATTTTCAAAACAGCTGACAGAGTCCCACCAAATGTGACTGCGGCAACGCTGTCATGTAGTATCTGTGGCATTCCACACGCATGTGCTCCTTAGTTGTTGACTTGTCTGTCTTTACCATGGGACTATCAGCCCCTTGAGGGCAGGAACCACGCTTCATTTACGCGAATCCCATAGCCTCTAGTCCAGGCTTTCACATACAATAGGTACCCAGTATGTGTTTTTGAACAACTACATTCTTTCTTATCCAGACAAATTCCAGGGACTGCCCTCTGATCAGGTTCCCCTCAGCCTTGAGGTACCCCTGGGACACACCTTGGCTGCAGCAGCAGAGACTGTGAGCATGACTGACACCTCACTTCCTTTGCCCTTTTCCCAAGTCGTGGCAGGCAGCTTTCCAGGGACCTCCAGGTCGAGAGCCCCATAAGGTTTGGTATCTGGGAAGACTGAATGAGAAAGAGGGATTTGTGTAACACTTGGCTGCCTCTCCCCCAGCTTTGGACAACCCAGGTAAACTGGGCCTGGCCCACATCCAGAATAGTATGTACCTGGGATGCTGGCCCGAGGAATGAGGGGGATGACAGGGGAGAGAGCCCGGTCCTCTTGCTCCCACCGGCCTGAGCCCAGATGAGGGAAACGAGGGGCCTCCTCCCCCAGAATGCTCTCAGGGGATGAAGCTGGCACAATGCTGTCAGGAGAATCGCTATCCTCATCACTCTCCATCCTGTACACCAAAAGTAGACATTTGTTGTTACAGCCCTGCAGACTCCCCCTCCCAAACCTAGAGATAAACAGATGTCTTCACCTTACTTGAAATCTGCCACTGGCCAACGGAAATATGAGGCAACCTGTCCCCCACCCTTGTTCCTCATCCCCATTTCCGGCCCCACCTCTACCTGACATCCTCAGTCTGATTGTGAGGGGGTGTAGGCAAGGCAGCCAGTAGGTCTAGACTCTTCACCTCTGTAGTATCTGAGGGGTGGGTAGGGAAAAGAAAAGTCAGGTGAGGGTGGCCAGAGCTGATGGTACCTTCTCCCCAATATTTTAGGCCTAATTAGCATGAGATCTCATCTATCATGATTTAACTGTCCTCCCACCTACCAGTTTGGGGCAGATAAGCTATATTTATTGAGTCTGCCCTGCATGCCAGGCACTGGCTTTATTATTTTTTTGTAGAGATGGGGTCTTGTTATATTGCCCAGGCTGGTCTTGAACTCCTGGCCTCAGGCAGTCCTTTATCTTGGCCTCCCAAAGTGTTGGGATTACAAGCATAAGCTACCATGCCCGGTGGCAGTTGGCTTTAGATACACTCTTTGTTAAGTCATTTAACAACTCCATTAGGTGAGTACTATAATATCCATTTTACAGTGAGGAAACTGAGGCTCACACAAGTCAATCAAGTTACTTGGATACAGTAACACAGTTGAATAAATGCAGCAACCAGAATTCTAATCCAGATCAGAGTCTAGACCCATACTCACTAAGACTGTTCCTTCTACACAAAGCTTCATAAAGATGCTCCTTGCCACCCACCTCCCCTATTGCCTTTGCTCTAGATTCCAAATATCTATTCTGGCCTCTAAGAAATCAGTCCTGAAGAGGCCCTTCCTACCTCAGGTGCCCTGTCATGTAAACACACTGGACAGCACGCAACCCACTCATTTCTAAACTGTACAGACACTAACTGGCTTGGACTCCAGCCACCAAACTGCACCAGGGGTGGTGTCTGCTCTTGACTTACCCCTCAGTGCCCCTTCAGTATCCCGGGCAGAGGCAGGATCCTTGGGGTGCTCCCCCAGCTCTTCAGATGGGGTGACGCCATTCACCATCTTCTGCTGCACCGATGGGGGTGGGGTGGGGGGCAGCGACGAGGGTGGTGTCGGCGGATTACTCAGGTTATTCTGGGGGGTGGGGGGTGGGGTGTTGTGTGCAAGATGGCATAGGGAGACTGATATAATCTCCTGGTCCCACTCTGTATCAGCAATTTCCTCAAGTTTTCCATTCCCACCCTCACCTTCCCAAGAACTTCACTATTCCCAAAAAATGTTGCCATTTTTCTGACCTTGGTAAGCAGCTGGGAATAGTAGTCAGGGCCAGTGGGCAGTGCCCCACTTCCAAAGGCCCCCTTTAGCTGGCTCTGCCCATTGACTGGACAGCCACTGCCAAAGGGAGCGAAGAGGTTAAAATTGGCGGTGATAGCAGGCTCCATTAGGGGCAGCAGAGACAGCTCCTACAAGGGGCAAGATGACAAAGTTGAAAACCTACAGCGTTTGCAGCTCTGTCATTCCACAGCTGGGGGACAGGATGCCCCCTATCCTGGGATGGGACCAGGGGACTGGCTCCTGGGGGTCACCTGTTTCAGCTGTTTCAGCAAGGCCTCGCTGGCCCTGACCCCGTCCTCCTTCCGCAGCTTCTTTCGGGAGCTCACCAACCTGTCGCTTGCCTTCTGTACCCGCTTGGGCTTCGGTGTCAAAGGCTTCCTTGCTGCTGCATCCTAAGCCAAATAAGCCCAGTGAAGACTGCTACCCTCCTCCTCAGAGCCCTCATCTCTGTCTGACACAGACTTGCTCATTCTGTATGCCCCTCATTCCTTGCTGCTGCATCCTAAGCCAAATAAGCCCAGTGAAGACTGCTACCCTCCTCCTCAGAGCCCTCATCTCTGTCTGACACAGACTTGCTCATTCTTTATGCCCCACTGACTCTAGGCCCCACTCTACCTACTCCACTCTAGCCAGAGTACTCACCTCCTTGTTGCTGGGGGTACCCTGTAGTTTCTGCTCCAGCCCAGCCAGCTTGCTGTCAATGTGCCCGTTGATCTCAGCTCGCAGCCCCTCGGACCCCCGCCCAGTGCTGAGTTGCACATTCTTTGCTCGGAGTAGCTTCTGCAAGAGCAGATGCCCAGCTTCTGAGCGAGGGCCTGCCAGCAGGAGGTGGTTGCTGGTACCTGGTGCCCCTATGGGCTCCCCATTGGCCTCCCTCTTCACTGACTGGGTTCCCAGGGCACATGACTCTTCCCGAGGCTCTTGCTTGATGCTGAGTTGCGGTGCCTCAGGCACTACCTGTCCATTCACCTGGTCCAGATGCTCCGGTACCAGGCTGCTCTGTTCTGACTTCTGACCTTCTGCTAGGTTGTCTGGGGGATCCCAAGGTCCCAGACCCTTGCCAAACAAGGTATCTGTAAGCTGGGCAGCAGCAGGTGAGACCCTCCCAGGAGGCAGCTCCAAGGTTGGCCCCTGGGCTTTGGGGGTCCCTGGATGATTGGGAGGGAGCTGGGCCTCAGTGGGAAGCTGGGAGCTGGGGGAAGGTAATTGTGAAGGTCTCTTTGGCTCTTGAGGGCTGGATGGTGGAGGTGTGGGATGGACAGGGCCAAGGACTGGCCCTGTAGATAAGGCTCCTGGTGGGGCAGGGAGCCGGGGTGGGCCCTGAGGTCGAGGCCCTGCCCCCAGCTCCGGGAGGGGGCCTGTCTGAGATCCAGGGAAGCCCCCAGGTTGGGGTTGACAGCCCAGGAGGCCCTGGAGGGGAGAGGCCTGGGTCCCAGGCTCCTGGTAGGGTGGGGTCTGGCGTACTGCCTGACTCTGCTGCAGCTGCCGCTGCATGAGGAGTGCCTGTAGCTGTTGCTGCTGCTGAGGACTTAAGTGCCGCAGCTGTGGGTTTTTGGCCAGGACTCCTTGGAGCTGTGCTCGAAGCTGACCCACTGTAGGCATGGCTCCAACCCCAGGCAGACCCTGCCCAGCCTGGAGGACAGGTCCTGGTTTGGGAGGTTGTGGTCCTGTATTATTTTGCATGGGCCGTTCTAGCATGGGCTGTTGGGGGCCCAGAAGGTTCTGAGTCATGGGCCCAGCCTGCTCCCCTAAGGAAACAGAAGGCTGAGCCAGCAGGTGGGGCATAGATGAGGCTTCAGAAGATGATCCACTGCCCAGCTGCCCATGGCTTCCTCCACCTGCTGTGTGGAGCAGACTAACTTGCTGCTGCTGTTGTCCTGGAAGCCTCAGTGGTGGCTGCAGCTGCAAAGAGTTGGGCTGAGGCTGGGCCTGGGGTTGGACAAGGAGGAGTTGTGAGTCCCCGGAGAGTGAGGGCTTTACCTCTCCTGGTTCAGTGGCCATTGACTCAGGGGTAGTTCCTATTGCTAACTGCCCTCGCTGATGTGTAGAGGGCCCCTCAGTGACCTCTGAAGAAACAGCAGTTTCTACGGTGTTTTGTTCCTTGCCCGTCAAGAGGAGGGTTGGGCCCAGGGCTCCAGGGCTCGAAAAGTGTTGAAGAGGCTTTACTGGCATGCCAGGGCCAAGTGCCACCTGCTGCTGCTGTTGTTGCTGAGGAGACAGTAAAGTTCGACTCTGGTTTAAAAGGCCCATCTGCTGTTGTTGCTGCTGCTGCTGCTGCTGTTGAAACTGCTGCTGCTGTAGCTGCTGCTTCTGTAGCTGCTGCTTCTGCTGTAGCTGTTGCTGTTGCAGCTGCTGCTGCTGCTGTTGAAGCTGCTGCTGCTGTTGCTGCTGCTGCTGTTGCTGCTGAAGTTGCTGTTGCTGTTGCAGCTGCTGCTGCTGCTGCTGCTGCTGAAGCTGCTGTAAAGAGCCCATGGGCTGAGTGCTCAGTTTGGGCTGCCCACTGTGTGACATTAGACCCTGCTGAAGATGGGAAAGCCCTGCCATGGACCCTTGCTGTTGGTGCTGTTGTTGCTGCTGCTGGGCTGTGACCAGCCTGTGTCCCATAAGCCCCTGACCCTGCTGTGCCAGCTGGGGGGAACTGAGCACCCGGGACTGGGTCATAAGCACCTGTCTGTGAGGGCCCTGGGGGCCCAAAGCTCCAGGGTGTTGCTGCTGCAACACGGCCACTTGGGCAGGGCCTAGTATGCCCTGGGGCCCCTGGGGTGGTTGAGGGGACAGCTGTTGGACCAGGAGACCTTGGTGGCTGCTGGGAGGCAGAAGCCCCTGGGGCTTGGGACCCAGAGCCTGGTTTGTCTGTACTCCAGGACCCTGCTGCTGTTGCTGCTGGATTGCCACCTGTCCTAGGAGGTGGTGCTGCTGCTGCTGCTGCTGCTGCTGTTGCTGCTGCTGCAGTTTCTGGGCCAGCTGCATGCGTTGTTGCTGCAGCTGCAGCTGCCTTTCCTGTAAAAGCCTTGAATCAGGTCCGAGGCCTCGAAGAGCAAGGTTGCCAGGGAAGAAGCCTCCTGAGGGGCCAGCCAGGGATCCAGCCCCACCAGAATGTTGTTGTTGCTGCTGTTGGGCCAGAGCTGTGTTAAGGAAGGGGCCACCAGGCTGTCCAGATAGTGCCATACCCCCAGGGGGCAGGCGAAGACCTCCAGCTTGCCCACCCGGAGGCCCCTGTGGTGGCTGCAGCCCATGGCCAGGGAGCAGCTGACCAGGGAGCTTGGTGAGTAGCCGGGGACTCTGGGAAGGGCTGAGAGCCAGCACAGCTGAGTGTTGTTGCTGTTGCTGCTGCTGCTGTTGCTGTTGCTGCTGCTGCTTGTTCCGATATTCTGCCATGAGATTAGTGTGTTCCTTCTGCTGTTTCCGGACCTAATGTGGGAGGGTCAGAGAAGTCAGGCTGAGGCATGCTCCCCCCATGCCATCCCTCTTCCCTGCCTTCTGGGTGCTAGGCTGAAGTTTGCTTTCCCCACCTGATCCAGCTGTTTCTGGATCTTGCTCTGCTGCTCTGTAACCAGCTTGAGCTTCTCAGCATCAGCTTCTGGGAACTCACGGCCAGCTTTTTTGGCAGTGCGCTGCTTGGCACACAGAGCCTTCCTGGACTTGCGGTGTACACCAATCTGCTCCTCTAGCACCTTCAGCTGCATCTGTAGGAGCTGCTGGGTATGGAACAGCCACTCCTCATACTGCCGCTGGTCAGCTTCATCTAGGAAAGGCAGCTGGGTGTCAGGACCTGCAAAACGGTAATCCCAATCCCTCTTCCTCTATCTGTCCCAAACCACTTCCCTGCACCTTGCTCCCATGCCCCATACTCACTGATAACTCCCTGAGCAAAAGTGGGTGGGTTGGGACGAGGCTGGGAGGGATCACCAGCACTATGCTCCTGCAACGAGAGAGGCTGTTAAAGGGTCATTGTTCCCTGCCAGGCCCTAAGAAGGGTGGCCCAATGGCAGAAAACACAAGTTCCTACTCCCACTTGACTACTTACCTGGCCACTCCCAGCTGCCACATGGTTCTGCAGATCACTGCCAGGTCCCCCCGAGAGCCTCTGAGCTAGCAGAGACACTTGTTGCCTGGAGTCCACCAAAGCACAGAGGGTAAGTTTTGGCAATGAAAAAGTTGGAAAGCAAAGACGTGGGACAAGTGGGGAGGAGGGCCAAGAAGGGGTGTGACTGGGAAAGAAAAGGGCCATCCATCCCCATTCCAGCCCTGAGTCTTACCTGTTCATACCAGGTGCCACCCCAATGCTGCCTTGAGCCATCACTTTCTTGATGCCTTTCAAAGCCACCATCTTGGCCTTTGCAATGGGATCAATGATATCTTCTGCAGCAAATTTGTCCAGGTCTGGAGAGGGAAGAACCAAGTGAGCTGGGTTATGGAGCCAATGCTCCATTGAATATCTGAGATTCCTTTCAACATCCTGACCTCCACCAAGCCAGGCAGAACAATGGCATGACAAGGCAGAAAGGCCACTGAATTAGGAGCCAGTCTGCCTGGGTGAATCAGCTCTATTATTCACAGGATATGTGGTCCTGTTTTTACTTGCACTGTGCTAGGAAAAGGAGCTCCAAAAAATTTGTTGAGTCAATCTGTGTTATTTCACCTGTTTACCCTTTAATTTGGTAGAGATGATGATCTCTACTCCATCTACCTCATAGAGGTGTTGAGAGGATCAAATGTGACAAGAATATAACTATATTTTATGACTTGGAAATCATTCTTCAAATATAATGTTCTTAGTGCAACTAGCACATCTCAAGAACCCAAGACGCTGGCACTGTTGCAAAGCCCTAGATGCCAGAGCTGTTTTGGGTACCACATGCATCACCTGTAGTCCACTCTCCTGTCTGTCTAAACTGCTGGGCAAAAAAGAAGAAACAAACCACGACCAAAAACTTAAGTCTTCCTAAAATCCTACACTTTGCATATTTCTCCACTGCTCAGAAAACTTAACTGAGCTCCCACTTTCTATTTTTTTTTTTTTTTAAGACAAATCTTGCTGTTATCACCCAGGTTGGAGTGCAATGGCACAATTTTGGTTCACTGCAACCTCTGCCTCCTGGGTTCAAGCGATTCTCCTGCCTCAGCCTCCCGAGTAGCTGGGATTACAGGCACCCGCCACCATGCCCAGCTAATTTTTGTATCTGTAGTAAAGATGGGGTTTTACCGTATTGGCCAGGCTGGTCTTGAACCCCTGACCTCAGGTGATCCACCCAGCTTGGCCTTCCAAAGTGCTGGGATTACAGGAGTGAGCCACTGCACCCAGCTAGAGCTCCCACTTTCTAAAGGACTAACCGAACTCCCTCTCCTGGAATTCTGAGGCAGTAAACAGTTAAGAGGAGTACCGACCAGACTTCAGATCTAGTTCTGCTAGCTGCTGCGTAATCTTGGACAAGTTACTTAACCTCCACATCTGTTTCCTCTTCTGTAATCAAAGATAATAACAATACCTACTTAATGAGTCTGCTGTAATTATTAAATTGGACAAAAAGTGCAAAGTGCTCAGTAAACTACTTGGCAAATAGTAATTACTCAATAAATGCTATTATAATTTGAGGTATTTTTCAATCTGGCCCCAACCTTACCTCACCAAAATTATGTCACTTACTTCACACTCAACAGTCTACTCCAGCCTAACCATTTCACTTACTGTTCTTGAAACATACATAGGTTTTCCCGCCATCACAGCCTCACCGAACTTTTTCATCTATCCCAGCTGCTTTTTTTTTTTTTTTTTTTGACAGTCTTGCTCTGTTGCCCAGGCTGGAGTGCAGTGGTGCGATTTTGGCTCACTACAACCTCTGCCTCCTGGGTTCAAGTGATTCTCCTGCTTCAGCCTCTCGAGTAGCTAGGACTATAGGTGTGCACCACCACACCCAGCTAATTTCTATATCTTTAGTAGAGATAGGGTTTCACCATCTTGGCCAGGCTGGTCTTGGTATCAAGTCATCCGCCCATCTCGGCCTCCCAAAATGCTGGGATTACAGGCGTGAGCCACCGCGCCAGGCCTCAACTGCTTTTATTTGCACTTCTTTTCAATTCCTAAGCTTTCAATTTCACCACAGCTACAAAGACTCTGCTAATTAGGCTTCATACATTCATTCAATTTATTCAAACATCTGCTATATGCCTCCTATATGACAGCAACTGTTCTCTCTCTTCTTAAAAGCTAGTGTTTCTGCCTCTACCACTAGTATGTTATTCAGCCAAAGTTCTTTGTGTCTCATCTTAACTAGGGATTATTTTAGGTCTCTAGCCTCAGTGCCCATTTAATGATAACAATGATCACCCTGAGTAACTTGGCTATGTTACCAGCCGAGGTTACCTGTATCTGGAAAGAAGCTGTTTGCCAGCTGCTGCTGCATTGCCAGTTGCTGGGGCTTCATGCACATGGAAGGTGGCATGGTGCCCATGGGCTTCTGTGATAGCACTGGCTGTGAGCTCTGCTGGGGTACCAAGCCTGCCTGCCCTCCGTGCTGCCCACTCAGCATATGCCCTTGATTGGACACCATAGCCATGGATGGGGCTAGGCGCTGCTGGAGGGCATGAGCTGGTGGCTGGGTGGGCATCAGTGGTTGAGCCAAGCCTGGCTGTCGGGCACCTCCAAGACCCAGGGAAAGCTGCTGTTGGGACCCAGCCAAACTGGGAGAAGAGCCCTCATGTGGCAAAGACATGGCCTGGGCAGAGCCTGGTGTAGATAGTAGGGAATGCTGCTGCTGCTGCTGCTGCTGCTGCTGCTGCTGCTGCTGCTGCTGCTGCTGCTGCTGTTGCTGTTGCTGAACAGGCTGCAACTGTGCTGAAAGCTGCTGCTTCTTCTGCAGCTCCTTCTTCTCATGCTCCAACAGGTCCTCAATGAGCAGGGGCAACTCGCTGGCTACCAGTGAGCTCTCCATCTTGTCTAGCTCATCCCCAGATGCTGTAGGTTCGCCAGGCAAGGTCAGGGCCCCACTCTCGAGCTCAAACTTTTCCAGCAGGGAGGATCCTCCTGGGCCACTCAATGGGCTGGGGGTCAGCAGGTGAGCTGGTGGTCCTCCTGTGGCCCCAAAGGAACCCTTCTCAGCTGTGTGCCCACTGCTAGAAAATGGCCCTGTGCCCATCCGGGTATCCCGGCTGTTCATCACGCTCTGTCCTGGCTTCAGCCCCAAGCCAAGGGAATTGGCAGCAGGTGCAGGCTCTACCTTGGGGGTAGCAATGGTGAACTGACAAGGGGAAGGGTGGCGTCCACCCTCCTCCACCTTGGGCTTCACCTCAGGGAGCACAGATGCCAGGCGGGGCTCAGAGGCATCAGCAGCAGTGGGAGGGCGCTCCTCAGGGCCCAAGGGTCCTGGCTCCACCCCCTGCAGCAGGGCCTCGCGTTCAGCCTTCTCATTAGCTGATTCTACCAGCCTCAGGTGCTCATTGAAGATGTCCTTCTTGTCCCCAGTGTCCAGCTCAGGATCAGTATATGCCAGCAGGTCAAACTCGTCTCCATTGAGCAGGTCATCCAAGTGGGGGTCATTGGTCTCCAGGTTTTCTAGGGTACCCAGTTCATCATCACCCTTGGCCACATCCACACCCAGACCTAGGTGAGCAAGCTCTTCATCATCCTCTAGGGCCTTGTGGGCATCAAAATCATCATCCAGCTCAGGATCTTCACAGGGCAACTTCCCAGCTTCCAGGGCCAGAGGAGGGGGGCGGCCAAGCTCTGTGCTTGAGGGGGGCCGGGTGACCAGCTCCAAGCCAGTTGGCAGGGTAGGACCTTTGGTATGGGGTGTTGGATGGAGGCTGCTGTTCAATTCAGGGGCCGGTGGGCCTGAGGGTTTCTGTGGGGGAAGACCTGATACCGCCAGGCCCCGAAGCCCTTCAGAAGCCAGTCGGTGGGGGTCCTCACTTACAGGGTAAAAACGAGGTCTCTGAGGTGGACCCTGACCAGGAAACTGAGTTCCCCCAGGTCCCAGTCCCTTCTGTACATTGTGCCGCAGCTCAATGAACTGGGCAGGACCAGCTGGACCAGGCACTGGCTCACCAGGGCCTGGCAGGCGGGTGGGAATTCCTGTCAAGGGGGAACCTAGGGCTTGGCGGCCAAGTTCAGGTCCAGGAGTTGATGGAAAGCGAGTTGACATAGCAAATCGCATGGAGGTTGCTGCTGTTGCCTGTTGCTGCTGCCACAGTTGTTGCTGTTGCTGCTGTAAGGGCAGGGACCCAGGATAGGGTGCTCGCTGATAGAAAGCTTGGGAGCCTCCTACCAGTTGCCTGAAAGAATACACAGTAGTCAGTAAGATGAAATCAGATGAAAAGTAGCAAGAACACAGGCTTAGGGCAGTGAGGAAGGATAGAATTAATGTAATGAAGGGGAAAGGAAGGAGGAAGAAGAGAAAGTGATACCGGAAAAGGATTAGTGAGACAGGAAAATCACAGCAGTATGCAACAGTGATAAAATCCATCCCCCTTAGTTTACCCCCAGGGAACCTCTCGGAGACTCACCGGCTGTTCACATCCATAGAGGAAGGCGTGGCTGGTGGAGGTGGCCGGGAGAGTCGGTCATCGCTAGGGAAGGACCCTGGCCCCAGAATGGGGCCACTCAGCTTGTTTTGAGGCAACCCCACAAGGCTGCTCTTGTCCTACAAGAGACAAGGCAGATGAAGGTGGGGCAACCTTCAATATTCTGGCCCCACTATCCCTTGCCACTCTACCTACCTGTGATCCAGCAAAGGGGGTCTGGCCTCGATTCAGCTGCTCAAAGGCAGGGCTGCTAGGCTCAGCACTCCAGTTGCCTGGAGGCCCCACTGCTCCTGCAGCTGCTGCAGCTGTTTCCTTCTCCTGCCGCAGGGTGTTGCGCTGGATCTGCTGCCGAATCAGCAGCTCTCGTAGTCGCTGGCGCTGTGCAGAAAACACAGAAGTGGAATAAGCCCATTCTACTCCAATCATGGGGCTGACCCAGAGACAGGAGCGATATGAAGGGCTTAGTTCCAGGGTGTCAACTTACCTGCCGTTGCTTCTCCAGCTCTGTCTGGCTAAGGCCGGACATGCCTGGGTCCTGGGTACCTGGTAGTTCAGGTGTCGCCAAAGAGCTACCAATTCCAGCCCCTGGGTCTTCTCGCTTTTCGACAGGAGAGGTGATGCCTGATCGCTGTGAGGCTCCATGGGACAGGTAGGGGAGGGATCCGTCGGGTACAGGTGGTGGCAGAACTGACGGGGGGCGGAGCGGGGACAGCCCATAGCTCTCCCCTGTGGACCCGCTGCTGGGCCCCAGGGGGCTGCCCGATGGGTGGAAGTTCCCTGTGGCTACTGTGTAGTTTGTGCTTTGAGGCTTGCCCAAGGTGGGGCCGGGCCCAAAATGGCTGTTGATCCCATGGGGTGGCGGGAGACCAGGCTGAGGGACAGGGGGCTTTAGGGAAGGTTCCCCTACCGCCTGAGGGAAAGTGAAACGCATGGGAGAAGGGGTGCCCACAAATGCACCCGTCCCAGGGGACCGGACAAAATTGGGGGGCTGCCCACTTGGGACCTTGGCATGGAGCTCACCTGCTGGCCCCGAGGGTAGCGCTGCTGGGAAACCCCCAGCCCCCAGCGGAGTGTGGGCTAGAGACCCAGCCTTAAAGGCAACTTCAGGGGGCTGGGGTCGGGGTGGCTTATGCAATGGGGCAAACGGGTCACGGGACTGAGGGCGTGAAGGTGGGCGAGAATATGGGTCAGGGGACTGGAAGCGAGGGGTAACGGGGGACGGGCAGAAAGCTTCAGCAGACAGAGGACGCGGTGTCAGTGGAGACTGGGAGCTGGACTGGGACTGAGGACTGGCAGGCACTCGGGAGAAAGGGTCAGAGGGCAATGAGCGAGGGGGCAGAGCACAGCAGCTCTCAGGGGGTGGAGGCTGGGGCCGAGGAGTCAATGGGGGCTGGGCATAGGGGTCAGGGAAGGAGCCAGGGCGAAAGATGTCTGGGTGACTTGGAGGGGAAGGGACCAAAGCCTGGGCAGGGGGTGGCTCCTGAGGCCTTAGGCCCAAGCCCGGGCTCTGGGGCTCTACCTGAGATGCCCGAGGGGTCAGGGGGGCTTTGAAGACATCAGGTGTCTTTAACTCCAGGCCACCCAGGTGGGGGCCTGAGGAGGGTGAGTCAACAAAGCCCAGGTTTGGGGGCCCATAGCTAGGAGAAGATGCCCCAAGCTCTTCCTTCTTTACCTCGAGAGCCTTCCGGGACTCCCCAAAAGGTGGGGGTGACAGCAGGGGCTCGGAAGCCTTGCCTCCCCCTACCCCAGGGCTCTCAGGCACAGCCAGATTATCCAGCGAGGGGCAGCGGGGTTTGAGGAAGGGGTCAGGTGTGGAGGGCTGGTGTCGGGGGGTGCCAGGTGGGGTAGTGTGGAATTCCCCTGGCTGACCAGTCCCAGGACGAGATGAGTTGCCCAGCATCGGGGGCTGCACAGGAGCCCCCGTCGGACTAGGATAGTGGGGATAGGTGGGTGGTGCTGTGGGGAAGCGGGGCTCCAGGGCATAGGCGGGGGCCAGTCCAAAGGGGTCCTGCGAAGGCACTTGGGCGGGCACCTGGGGTGGGAGCTTGAGGAAGAGCTCACCAGGCGAGTCAGGGCCGGGCACCGAGCCCACCGGCGGCTTCAGGAACCCGTCCGCAGAGGTAGACAAGCCGGCGGGGGCAGTGGGGCTGCCAATGAAAATGGTGGGGGCAGCGGCGGGGGGCGGGCTGCCCAGTGCCCCTGGCTGGGGGGGAATGCGGAGATGTAGGGCTGGTCGGTCAGTCTTACGGGCTATGTCGCCCACCTTGGTCTGCTTGTTGATCTGGCTCTCAGCCTGCTATAGGGGGAGACCAGGCACAGACCAGTCAGGCTGCTGCAGGCAGGTCCCATGTCCCTCCACCCTCAAGAGAAGCCACCCATTAGAGGACTGCTATGCCCCAGCCCAGCCCCACTCACCTTCTGCACCTTGTTGATGCGGTGAGCTGCCCGGTTATCTTTGGCCTTTTGCTGAGGGATATGGGACACAGCCTTAGGGCCTGGTGCTCAGCCTCATGCCCCGCCCCCAATGCTGTACAGTGTTTTCACACTCCCTACCCAAAAGCTGATCCCTTCTGGCCCAGCTGCTTTAGGAGTGGGGAGTGGAAAGAACTGAGGTAAATTACTCAAAGATCTCTCCCTCTCTCTCAGTTCTCATGCTGACCCATGCTCCTTTCTGTCTCACCAGGTAGGGGGCTTTATCTGCTGCTGGAACCTTTCTCCAGAGCTTCATGATTTGTTTGCAACGGCTTGACCAGTCTGGAGGGCAGAGAGGGTGAGTCAGAGGAGACTTGGCAGATGACCCTTCCACCTGCCATGTTGCCAGGCTGTCTCCTTTGCCCTTGTCCCACAAGTACCTGGGTAATCTTGCTTGAGATTAGGAAAATTAATGTTGGCATAGAGCACGGGCGAGATGGTGGACAGCTGGCCCAACTCTTCATCCTTCTCCCAGCGCTGAAGACTCCGCTGGTTATAGGAGAGTCCGTCGCCCTCACCCTCTGTGGTGGGGGTTGTGGGAGTGGAGGGCGTGGTGCCGCCTGAGCCTGTCCAGGGGCTGTCTGGCTCACCGGGTTCCGGGCTAAAGAAGCCCCCGCGCTCCCTGGGGCGCAGGGGCAGACAGTCACAGAGGGCAGAGATGCCAAGTCCCACCCCAGACAAACTGCCCAGAGCCCCAGGCCACTGCCCTGCCCCCAAAGAGGAGGACCACTAACAAGGGAACGGGGAGGACAGGGGAAGTGCTGCTGGAGTCCGAGGGAGGCGAGGCATGAACTCAGATGGAGGGAAAGGACAACAGGAACTGCCCATGAAGGTTACGCAGAGATACCAACCTAGAATCCAGGAACGGGGACTGGCAGAGGCCTGGGTAGGAGTCCATTGGGCTGCTGGAGGGGAGACATCCCAAAGGGAGTCCACCTACAAGACGGACAGGATCAGAGAAAAGAGAACAACTGGCCCATCCTGGAGGCAAGCTTGGTCATGCCAGTCTTTAGACCACTCCCACCCGTATCACCTTGAAGAAAGGGCCTCTGCAGTGGCGTACGGCTGCCTTCTAGACCAGGGGTTCCACAACCCAGATGCTGCTCTCGTTCAGAGCCCAGAACATCCTTGAAGAGTTGCTGCAGGTCCTTGGATTCCATCTTGGGCAGTTCTGTGGGGGAATGAAGGACACTGTTGAGGAAGACTGAGAAGTTCAGGTGACACCACAGGTCTACAAATGGTCAAGGCCAGGGAAGGTGCCCAGGATTCTGCACCAGAGAAGCTGTACAGATCACAGTTCCACAGATAGGACCTTCTCCTTTGCCCACAGAAAACCCTTAAACACAAAGAGGTGTGGGTCACAGTCTCACCTTCTGTGGAAATCCTGTCTAAGTCAGAGCTAAGCATCCCTTCACCTGGGGTGCCTGGTTTCTCAGAGTCACTGGGCACTGGGGATGCCTTCACACCCCCATCCTCAGGTCCTGTAAATGCCAGGAGAAACCCATGGGTCAAGGCCAGCATGGAGGTACCATACTGGCCACTCTGAACCACAGAGGGCCATGGGACAGTTTCCAGCCTCCAACCCTGACAATATTCAGAGGCATGGCAGAGTGACAGAGGCAAGGCCAAGACAGGACACAGTACCCCCGGCAGCCCTCACCTGGTGTATCAGCCTTGCCTTCGAGGCCACGGGATTCTTCATCTGCAATATCTGGACCATCATCTCCTATGAGCAAGATTCCCGCCTCCAATCAGAGATGTCCTGCATCTGATGCCCAGAACAGGTTCCCAGCTCCCACAGCCCTATAGGCCAGGACCCCTGACCCCACCCTTGACTCCTGGAGGCCAGTTCATTTCCCATCAAATAACTTACCAGCTCCTAATCCAGAAGGAAGTTGGATTCTCTCAGACCACTCACTCCCACATAACTAACCTTTCTGCGAGGTGGGGAGCTCCTTCCTTTCTGAGCCTCCCTCTCCCTTGGCTTTTGGGGTTCCTAGTCCAAAGCCTGGCCGGCCCATCCCAACTGCAAAAAGGGCCTTACGGCTCAGGTCCAGCAGCTCCTTCCCAAAGAAGGCTTCCTGTGGGGAGTCAAGGAGAAACAGGCTTCTTCATGCCCTGCAAGGCGCAGACACCTCCATCACTGCTTGGAGCCTGAGACCCACCTGCAGGTAGGCAGGGAACATGTCCTCCAGTTTGCTCTTCTTGCGCCCTCGCCGCTGTTGCTTCTTCTTCTCATCCCCTTCAGCTAAGCTCTGCTCCACAGCACCCTCTGCAGGCACGTCAGCAGGTGTCACTGTGGACAGAACAACAAGTGTCAGATTCTGGGGGTTGAGAGCATGATGCTCCCAACAGCATGTCACCCAAGCGTGACACTTTGTGCCTACTCTCTCCCACAACATCAGCTGGGTCCACCACCCTCTTGGCCCTTTCAATGAGTCCATCCCCTGGGTCTCTCTGGCATTGCCCCACCTTCTCCCAGGCCCCACTGGTGCCCTCACCCGTCTCACCCTCGTCGGGCTGCCCATCCCCACTCAACACCTCCGCCTGTGCAGCAGGCCCCTTTTTCATGCGCGTGTGGGATTTCCGCTGTCGCACCATGAAACCACCAATGCCTATGAGGAGGCAGAGCTGCAGATGAGAAGCTGCTGGGGGACCTAGTGAGCTGCCCCGCACCACCCCACCACCCTACCACCCCATCCCAGGTCCTCACCAGGCCGATAGGGTTTACGCTTGCGTTTTTTGCTTTCCTCGGTCTCCTCTTTGCCAGCCTCCACATCAGGGCTGACAGGGCCCTCCAGTTTAATTTCACACTCCATGTGCTCCACACCACCTGCGTATGGTGACAGAAGAGATGGCGGCAGGTCAGAACTACAGGCATCCCCCTTTCTTTTTGAGACGGAGTCTCGCTCCTTTGCCCAGGCTGGAGTACAGTGGCACAATCTTGGCTCACTGCAACCGCTCCCTCCCAGGTTCAAGTGATTCTCCTGCCTCAGCCTCCTGAGTAGCTGGGACTACAGGCACGTGCCACCACACCCAGCTAATTTTTTGTACTTTTTTTTTTAAGTAGAGATTTTTTAGTAGGGGTTTCACTGTGTTAGCCAAGATGGTCTCAATCTCCTGACCTCGTGATCCACCCACCTCGGCCTCCTAAAGTGCTGGGATTACCGGTGTGAGCCACCACGTCCAGCCCTTTGGGCCCTTTTAACCTTGTCACCCTTCCACTAAGGGAGCTGAGTACCTTGCCACAAAGCCACCTGGACAAAACCAGCAGTGCTTAAGGGTAACTGTGAGCGGCAACGCAGCCCCCACCCAACATCTCACTCCCAAAGGCGCGCTCCCACTACTCTGCCGCTCCCTAAGATTCCCCAAGCTAACCTTCACCCTTGAGCAGCTCATCGGTGTCCAGGTCCCCATCCTTCTTATCATCAGGGCCAAGGGCATCTGAGGGCTCAGAACCTTCCAACCCTGCCTCGCCTGGGAGGCCAAGCCGTCCTCGCCGCTGGCGCCGCTTGTGCAGTGGTGACATGGTCAGGTTACGCAGCACAGCCATGCCAGTTTCCGTCAGCCACACACCTTCGAAGCGAAAGTACTGGGGCTCTGTATAAGAGGAAAGAGTGTGTGATCCCTGGATGGAAGCCCCAGGGAAACCAGAACTGCAAGTTTCAACCTATGTCCTTAGCTGAGACAAAGGCAATGACAGAAAGTCCAGCCTAGGGTCTAAATGCTGGGGAGAAAAGGCCAAGGGCCACTGGCTGAGGCCTGAGTTCTCTGTCAGTGACCCAGGGAGATTCAGAGAGGAACTGTAACTCAGAAGCCTGCCTTTGCTCATGATTAACCCTAGGTTCACTAAATAGATTCTCTTGCTGTCTGGGGCTAGAAGGGCCCCTACTTGCTGAATGTCAGCACACAGTGTCCTAGATGCCAGTAACAGCGCCCATATCACAATGAAGGAGATGTCCCTGGCCCCTTTCACTGAGAAAAGAGCTGTGTTCTCTGAAGATGAAATTCTGGCAGTGAAAAGGCCATGGTGGCTGAGGAAAGAAACACTGCCTGGGAAGCTGGAGACCTCGGATCTAGTCATAACTTTGCCACTAACTTACTAGGTGACTTTAGGTAGGCCACTTAACTTCCCTGGGTCCGAGTTTCCTCCTCTTAAAATGAGGAAATGAAGCTGGGGGACTAGAGCTAGACTAGATGATGTCTGAGGTCTGATCTGGCTTTGGCATTCAAAATTTCTGTGACTCACCTGGCTCTTTCACCTTCATAGGCACCAACTCTGGAGGCGCAACAGGCACTATAGCGAGAAGGACAAACCGAGGTGGCTGAGGCCCTGTCCCAAAGCAAGGTACCCCTGCCCTGACTCCTACCCCTACCCACCAGCTGGTACTCACCCACAGGCTTTACTACATAGGGCTGGCAGGAGACACAGTCAAAGCCTTCATCGGCTGCCTGTTCCACATCGTCCTCTGTGAAAAGGCTCTCACAGCCAGCATGCATCCACCTGGAGAACAGGGGCCGAGGGAGATGAGCATGGGCAATGTGAGGCCGGCAACAGGGCCGACGTGAGGGGAAAGAGATGTACTCACCGTTCACAGTGGCGGCACTGGATTAGTAGGTCCTCTTCCACATAAGGAGCATGACAGATAGGGCAGGTCACCAGGCTGGCACAGGGCCCACAGTGTGTGTAACTATTCTGCCATTCACAGTGGAAGCCAGGGGAGGCAGCCCCACACTGCATACAAGACACACACCTGGTAGGAGCAGAAAAACAGAGCCTTAACACCTACCCAAAGAACCCAGAAGTCCCCTCAATGGGAACCCCAGCCACCAGCCTGGCCTCCCAAACCCAGCCTCTGTCACGTACTCAACATCATATCCACTTTAACATCCCAAGGCCCCAGGCTCCACTGAAGATCCCAGTCTCCTTACCACTTGCACTTCCAGCCGCCCTTAGGCACAGTGAGCAGTGGGGGGTCCAGGCAGTATGTGTGGTAGCTAATGTCACAGTCATCACAGAGCAGCAGGCGTGAGGGGTCGGAGGCCTGGCCGCACACCTCACACACAATACACTCCACACAACGCCAGCCCTTGAGCAGCATCACCTTAGTGATCTGGGGCAGAAGACGGGAATTTCACAGAATGTAAGGTGGAAAGGAGTTAGAACTTTTTTTGTTGTTTTTATTGTGAGACGGAGTTTTACTCTTGTTGCCCAGGCTGGAATGCCATGGCACAATCTCGGCTCACTGCAACTTCCACCTCCTAAGTACATGCACTTCTCCTGTCTCAGCCTCCCAAGTAGCTGGGATTACAGGCATGTGTCACCATGCCTGGCTCCTTTTTTTTTGTATTTAGTAGAGATGAGGTTTCACCATGTTAGTCAGGCTGGTGGTGAACTCCTGACCTCAGATGATCCACCCACCTCAGCCTCCCGAAGTGCTGGGATTACATGCATGTACCACAGTGCCCAGTCTAGGAGGTGGGACTTCTAAGGGTAAGGCTGGAACAACTCCAATGCAGAGACCAGGCCTCCATTTGAGCACAGGGAGACTCATGCAGAGCACCCTTATCCCCAAAACAGTGGCTCTAAACTTAGGCTCCCAACAATCTCTGCTGATCAGAGAAGAGCTGCACTAGCCACTGACACATTATGAATAGCATACCAATCTTTCCACTAGCCAAGCCCCTCAAAAGAGACTGTGGACAGAATTAGGTCCCCCAATTTTTCTTTTTCGAGATGGATCTCACTCCATCGCCTAGGCTGGAGTGCAGTGGTGCAATCTCGGTTCACTGCAACCTCTGCCTCCCAGGTTCCAGCAATTCTCCTACCTCAGCCTCCTGAGTACCTGGGATTACAGGTGCCCGCCACCACGCCTGGCTAATTTTGTATTTTTAGTAGAGATGGGGTTTCACCATGTTGGCCATGCTGGTCTTGAACTCCTGACCTCAGGTGATCTGCCTGCCTAGGCCTCCCAAAGTGCTTTGATTACAGGTGTGTCCACCAGGCCGGGCCTCCCCCAAATATTATTGAACATTTACAACTCACTATTGCTGCTAGTTAGTAAATATTAGCAATAGACAAGTCATAAATATTAATGAAAACCCCAAAATAACTGATCATGCGTAGGTCAAAAACACTGCTTTCTCTTTGTGAACATGTACTTATAATTTATCTTCAGATTATATCATGTTTTTCACTAGTAAAGTTATCTCATATGTATTTATATATGTGAATGACAAAAAAAGAAAGGTAATGTCTCAAAATACACATACAGATACATGTATATAAATTTTTTTTTTTGAGACTGAGTCTTGCTCTATCACCCAGGTTAAGGTGCAGTGGAGTTATCACAGCTCACTATAGCTTTAATCTCCTGGGCTAAAGCAGTCCTCCCACCTCAGCCTCCTGAGTGCTGGGACTACGGGCACGCACTCCCACGCCTGGCTAATTTCTAATGATTGTTAGTAGAGGTGCAGTCTATGTTGTCCAGGCTGGTCTTAAACTCCTGAACTCAAGCAATCCTCCCACCTCAGCCTCCCAAAGTACTCTGATTGCAGGCGTGAGCCACCACGCCCAGCCAAGTTGTTTTATTTTTTACAATGGACTGAATTATATCAGCAAGTCAGGGTCTACCACAGAGAAACTATAAAGTCTACCGTGAGTTCCAAAGTACTCTTCCCCAAGAAAAGTTTGATAACCACCGGTGATTAATGAACAATATCCATGACCAATGGTCGCTTTAAGATGTGGTATGGCCAGGCAAGGAACTAGGGTAAGAAATAACTGACCCTACTCCCCAGCCTATACCTCTTGGGCCTTGAACTCACCTTGCTGTTGACACAGTAAGGGTGATAGCACTGAGAGCACTGCGAACACGCAAGGAGGTGGCCCTCTGCACCCCGGCCAAAGCTGCCACATACCACACACATGTCCTGGGGAAACACAAAGAAACTGGAATGTCCAACATCTCCCCATCCCACTCAGATTCAGCCTACTATGACACTACAACACTGATTTGAGACCAGAGAGTCAAGAACCCCATCCCACAGCATTAGGACACTGTAAGCTACCAAGGAACCCTGCTCCTTCCTAGGATGCCTAACTCACCTAATCAGGTCACTTGAATTTGTAAAGCCTGACATGGGCAAAGGCAAGAAGAAATTAAAGGATGATAAGATAGGAGTAAAGACTGGTCAGGTGAGAATCACATATGTGACAAAATTCTATCAACTTGAAGATTTTTCAAGTAAGGACACATACAAGCTCCCTAAACTATAAACTTCAATAGGGCAAAGACCTTTTCACTGCTATTTCTGTAGCTCCTAGCTTAGTGCCAAGCTCAGAAGAAACACTCAAGAGAAATGTGATGGATGGACAAATAAACAACATGATTAGAATTCATGGTCTGTTTTCTCATTAGCTGAGTATCCCCAGAAGTAGGTTCCCAGTTTTCCTCATCTATCCTCTCACCAAAACACACACATACACAACATTATGGCCTTGTCCTGGCCATAATGTTCAGTGTGCCAGGTCTCACTGTATGGTACCTGCATTAGGACGAATTTGTCTGTGTTGGAGAAGAGAACCACGGTATTCTGCATGGTGTCATCATCTTCTTCCTCCTCCTCCTTACTGGGAGAGCTATCAATGTCAGCAACCTTATGGGCAGAGAGTTGTAGAAAGTGAGGCAGATAAATCTGCCCCCACCAAGCTATTTTCCTCTTTGGTGTTGGGGGAAAAGGGTGTCAACCCCTGGCTAAGATGAAGGCCAAAAGCCAGGAAAAAGAGACAGAACACCCCAGCTCCCAAACTGGGCCTCAGCCTGATAGCAGAGATTTCAGAAAAACCTGGGAGCCAAGTGGAGAGGAACACAGACATAGCCAGACAGGTCCCAGACGAGCAGGCAGGTAGGCAAGCATGCAAGCGACTGGCAGCACTCAGACGGTGCTAAAGCATGCTTGGGGGGATGGGAGGAATAGGAGGCCTCTCCTTACTACCAGAGTCTCAATGGAAGAAGCAGTTGACTTTAGCCGGGCCCGTCCTCTACCACGTCCTCCATGGGCTCCTCCACGAGGCCGGCGTCTCCCTGGAAAACTACTGCTACGGCCCTGAGTGAAAGAAGGGAGCAATGACAGGAGCATGTCAAGGGCTAGTGTGTTGGGCTTACATGCTTAGACGGAACAAGTGACAAATGGACACAGTAAAACAGAGTAAAAACGGAACAAGTGACAAATGCCCAGGAGTCCCACTCAGGGCAGGGGAAAAGGCCAAGCTCCCCAATATTAACAAGTACATAGCTCTAGCCCAAACCCATTCTTCCCCTCCCAAGAGTGGCTGACATAGACAAGGAGAAAAAACAGTGGCTTAAAAGAAGCAAGTTTCTGGTCCCGATTCTATTACTGAGGAACCATGAATCTGGGCAAGTTATTTATCCCTTCAATATATTATTATTCTCCTTAATAAAATAATTGGTATAAAGGATTTCCAAATCTAGTATTCAAAAAGCACGGTGAGAAGCTATCAGTGACACAGGACTGTACCTCTAACAGTGGCCTAGCGCTGATCACATGCAGCAGCTAGATAGCCCCTCACCTGTTTGATGCGGGAACGGGCTGGGGAGCTGCGTCGCCGCCCCTTCTCCCCATCAGCTTTGCCTCCACTGATAGCTGTCCCGGCATCACACAATAGTGAGTCATCAGTCTCTGGCAGTGAGTCGGTACAGAGCCGTAGGGAGCCCTCATCTCGGGCTGGACTAACATCCGTAGAGACCCCCAGCTCCATGGACAGGGAGCCACCCCCCTCTGGGTCAGGAGAGCCCAGGAGGGGCTCTGAGCCAGGAAAACTGGCACTGGCATCGCCCTGGCTCAGATTAGAGATCTCGTTAACGATGTCGGATTTGATGAGAGTGGGTGGTGTGGGGGCCACCGATGCACGTGGCTCTTCCTGTTCTTCACATGGTGAGCCCTGCCCTGCTACCTGCTTGCATTCGGGGTAGACCTCCATAGGGGTCACAGGGGCCAGCTCCTCGGGGTCCGGGAGCACAGGGGAGCCTTTAAGTTCACTAGCCAAACTGCCAGGCATCTGTCCAGCCTCTGGCTGTGAACCTGGAGCATCAGTCCCATCCAGAGGGGCTATGTCTTCCCCTAGGCCAGAGAAGTCATCCAGGGCTGGGGCAGGGCTGGGGGCGGGACAGGAAAGGTCGCCCATTGGGGAAGGGAGGGGACTGGTGGCACTGGGTTCCAAGGCTGGGCATTCAGGTTCTGGAACTTTCTCAGTATCCATTTCGTGTGACTCAGCCTCATCTGAGACCCCCACTGCCTTCCCTATGGGACTCAACGGGGAGGGAACAGACAGTGGCAGGGCAGGAGGGGAGCACTGGGAAGGAGGGGAGTTTTGAGGAGGCAGGGAATGCTGAAGGAGTGGCGAACACTGAGAGGGAAGGGGCTCCATCAGGATGAGAGAAGCCGGTCCCATTGGGGAGCCTGGGGATGGGGGAAGGATCATAGGGGGGACAGGCTCAGGGTCAGTGCAGTTAGCTTCTGGTGGAGGGCTGATAGGTGTCTCCAGGATGGGGGCAGCCAAGGGTGACTCAGGGTCACTGTCCCCTTTGGCACCAAAGGGGTACTCTAACTCCCTCAAAGGAGACAGGGCCGGTGGGGCCACAGCTGTGATAATGGGTGAGAGTGGAGGAGGAAGGGGATCTGGAAGAGAAAAAAAGAGGGGCTCTTAGATTAGACATGCCATGAAAAGTTGAAGAGTTACGGCTGTCCCAGGGTAAGAGAGTGCTAACATCCCCTTACCTGGTGGCATCAGCTGAGGCGACAAGGATGGCTCCCCAGACGGGGACAAGGGCAGCTCCTCAGGCAGAGGGGACAGAGGTGGTTCCCCAGGTTCAGACAGGGCCGGCTCTCCAAGCAAGGGAGATAAGGGTGGCTCCTCAGGTGGAGGGAACAAGGGCAACTCCTCAGGCACAGGGCATTGGCCTGGCTCCTCAGGGGGCTCTTCAGGCCGAGGGGACAGGGGTGGCTCCTCAGGCTGAGGGGACAGGTGCAGTTCCTCAGGCTGAGGGGACAGGTGCAGTTCCTCAGCCTGGGGGGACAGGCGTGGTTCCTCAGACTGGGAGGACAGGTGCGATTCCTCAGGCTGGGGAGACAAGCATGGCTCCTCAGGCACAGGAGACAGGTGTGGCTCCTCAGTCTGGGGGGACAGGCGTAATTCCTCAGGCTGAGGGGACAGATGTGGTCCCTCAGGCTGGGGAGATAAGTGTGGCTCCTCGGGCCGGGGGGATAGGCGTGGCTCCTCAGGCTGAGGGGACAGGTGCAGCTCCTCAGGCTGTGGC